AAGGGACCAAAGCCACAGCATGATTATGAGGTTTTGCATATACTAATACTGTAGTCGAGTGCATGCCGGAGCGATGTTGCTGAAATGAATACAAGTTGATTCAGGCAACATTGGATGCATACTGAAAAGCAAAAAGTATCAGATCAAATATTTAAATTGTAAACTTAGGAGCATGAAATGAATTTGTCCTGGTGGAGCATGTTGACCAATATACAACATACCACTCTCTATTTATTTTTAAATGAAATACTTTCACATTATTTTACACTTTTATTTAGATATTTGTGGAAATATGTACGCATTCCCGGCACACTGTTGAGTCATTTCTCCTCAGTAAGCATAAACGCCTATTTCTAAAACAGCGAGGGCCAGTGCGGTCACTGTTTGTGTGGGCAGGAACTATGAGACAGTCCAGAGAGCTGGTTTAAGCCGGCAGCAGAGGCCACAGGAGGTCTTTTGCCTCAACTGGGTGTGTACACATAGCTGTGTTGATGAACTTCACCACAACTTTGCTCAGTTTTACCTGCCCCAAGCTCAGGAGCAGCTTAAAAGCTACATTATATATATCATATAATGAGATGTGATAAATTGAAGTCTAAAATGTGACCTTTCGTATTGTACATGCAGTTAAATGATAATGGTGTCTAGTAAACAGTGGTGACGGTGATGCAGCAGTGCATAAAGCATGCCTCTTCTTGTTGTTGGAGTCTTAGGGGGGCTGACAACTCCCGCTCATAAAATGTCTCAAGTCAGAATGGCGATAAGGATGCAGGGTTAATGCGGCTTGGCACACAGTTTTATTTGTGCGGAGGCAGCAAAGTCCCGCTCTTCTACCCCTTCTGGAGTCGAGCAGAGTGGATACTGTTGCAGGACCAGAAGCAATGGTGCGATGGGGGATGCTTAGTTGAGATAGAATGTGTAGGCAGGAGAAAGAGGAACTCACGACCAAATGACAAGTATAATTCAGAACTGAATTGATGTACGACTTAGAGCTGGTCAAAATTACAATGTTATATTATTTGCTGGACTTTCACACACAATAAATTGTCATTAAAAGCCAACAAACTGGGTTATTGAAGTGTTATGTTTGAAAGTGTGTGACCCGGCAAGCATGAACCAATGGGTGACGTGACGGTAATAAGTTTACACTTTCTCATGACCTATCAAGCAGGAACTAAATTTAGTCTGTGGTTCTTGCAGTGGAAATGTTGTATGAAATGCTGTAATGCAATGACATTACAAAGCAAATTACTGTTCATAAGAATTGATTTTCAGTCATGTTGCATGTAGTCTCTGTAAAAATCATATCACTTGGCTTCTTAAACCTGAGCTGCAAGGATTCTCTGCTGCTATACATGAAAACATAATGAGACAAGGCTCGGTAACAAAACAGTTTCTTGTTGGTGTTAGGGATGAGCACCAGTGGGAGCAAAACTGTACTACAAGGCTCCACACCACTGCTCACCTATAGCTATTTGTATGTGAGTCAACACCAAGCCTTCTGTCTTTTTAGGGAGGGCCAGTGACCCTATCATGGACACGGCCTGTTAAGAGAAGCAGCCTTTTCTTATCTGCATGCCCTTGGAGTACGCGCCCATTGATATGCCACCTTGACTCTATCTTCATGCCAAGATGCTTCCAATTATGCGAGCCGCTGGAGTGAGGCAGAGCGTGGGTTTCTGTACGATGAAAACTGGTCCATGGGTAATGTGATCCTGCTGATTTTCCCCCCACAGGGATGGTTTCCACTTATGGAAGGAGGAGTCAAAGAACAGCCATCTCTCTACTCAACACTTCCCAGTTCACTACTTTCCCCACATCGTCTCATGACCCCATAAGGTAGACTGATCCATTCAGTAAATGGTTAATCACCGGGGCCTGAGCTCTGCATGCAATGTGCATCTATTACATCCAGCAGTTCAATACATCATGTGTGGGGATTTTTGCTGTGACATCAGTTCCCGTGTTATCAATCTTTCTTTAGATGCCTCTTTTTAGGCAGCCTGATGTTGCCTGGCAGAGGTGACGCCACAGTCAGGGCAGCCCTGTGACTGACAACAGGCTGTCACTCATCTGAAGTGACAAGCTCTGTGTTAGACAGCCACTGGGAAAGTGAGAGATGGGTGGAGAAGAAGTATGGAGAATGACTGTTTATAGCCAGTGGAAGCTTCTGTACCTACCAGGATGGTTGTGTCAAACATCATTCTCTTCTATTATGTCTATTTTATTGTCAGGCTTCCAGAAATCTCTCTCTATTTGCACTGTGGACAATTTATACAAGCAAATTATCTGCACAGTGATTTAAATCTTAACTCATTCAGTGAGGAAATGCTCTTCTCCTTACTTTTCAAGTTCTCATACGTATTCCATTTATTTGGTTTCCCTCACTTCCAGAAGAGGGCAGCACTTCTTTACCAAATGTTATTGTAACCTCTGCCATATACAGTATTCCTTCACTTCAAGCTCTGCTCTGTGTAATTTATTGAGAAGTGTGTAGACAGAGGCCATCATCTTGACTTTTTCCACACAAAAAAAGTCCAGAAGATGCTGTTCATTCCCTGCATGCTTCTCACCCCTTTAATTTCATCTTCACTATTTTGAAAAGGAAGCTTTTCAGACTAAAACACATCTTGTCACATACACTGTGATTTATGAAAATGCACGATACAATTTACACAGCAGACCTCAGTCACTTCCACTTGTATTGCCTGTCGCCCTTCTTCTCCCTTTTCTTTTTCCCTCTCTCTCCCCTTCTGTCACATCTCGCCTCACTCTTATGTTTCCCCCCTCTCCCTCTTTGCTTCTGCTCCACCCTATAATCACGCCGGTTCATGGCTCTCATTTGGAGTGGTATATATAGCAGTAATTGTCAGGGTGCAGTACGGAGACTGGGCAGAGCATGTGTACTCTCTCACAGGGCTGTTTTGCAATAAATCTGGTAGTGGAGAAGAGAGGATTGGGATGGGGAGGTGAGGGGGGGGGGGATATGTACGTGCATGCAAGCACTTGCATACACATAAAGATACATTCACTTATACACAATGCTCAAACAATACAATGAGCACACAGAGAAGTAGATAACATTTTCCAAGCACCTAAGAAAAGACATTGTAGTAATTTGCAAGCGCTCTCTTTGCATCTGTAAGTCATTATATCTCACTGACTATTCATTTACTCTCTCAATGGGCCAGACATGGAAATTGAATGTCTCTCATAATGTGTTTTTCACTCAACAGGATGGGACAATTATGCAAATGCATCATTATTCAGGAACGCATAATCCTTATCGGTAAATATTAACAACCCCAGGTGATGAGTTGGGGCCTTGTGTGTCAGGTGGTCTGCTTATGATCCATGAGCACATGGAAACACACTCAAGTAACACTGTGTATACATACAAAATAATGAAAACAGGTAAATCAATTACAAGTGGAAGAAAACACTAATGAGCCTTCTCATCAGCTTCTTAGATAATACAGAAGCAGCTCATCACCCATGAACGTGATAAAAAGCAAGTCATCATGAGGGCCGCACAAAACCAGACACTTCCCATTATCAAAGCTGCCACGTGGCTTTCAGTGAAGACATTCCTGAACAATAATCTAAAGTTTGATCACTAAAATCCTTCATAATGTCTGTCTGCCGTATAAACCATGGAACACTGCTTCCAAAAGAGAAAACCTGTTATGCAGTCCAGTTGTTTGTATGTGTGTGTGACAGGGTGGGGGTGGGGGGTTCCTTGTAGCTTGTAGGGACAGGTCTGTCATTCAGAGAGTGCACACAGTCTCCATTGTAGAGCCGCCTGTGGTCCCCACCGGGTCAGGGTGGGGTGGCAAGGGGGCCTCCCGAATAAAAACACTTGCTGCAAACAGGAAGTGGACCTGTAAGGATAAAACAAGAACTGCGTGGCCGAGGGGGTTAATGAATAGAGTTGGTAATATTTCCTCAACTCTTTGTTTCTCTTTCTTTCTCTTATTCTGATTCATCTTGATGGGGTGATTGAGCTTGCTTGGGTTTAACTTTGGAAGTACGTCCACACATGTCCTCGCTGGACAAGACCGGGCCTTCCTGGAGATGTAATCAAGTTCTCTTAAAGCAAGTTCCAGACACTAGTATCTAACGTCTGTTACTATGATGAGATAATTTGAGTTCTTTCCATGGTAGTGACATGTTTCTGTGAAACTGTACAGATAGCAAGTGGATAACCTGCACTTTCAAATTTAAAAAGTTAAACAGAATAAAAATAAAACATTTTAAGACCTACTATAAGATAATCTGTGAAGTCCACTATACTTGTTTACAGTATATGTGCATTGCCTATGTGTTTATAGGAATGAAGTTTGCTTAAAGTGCATGAAAGGATGCTGAATGTGTGAGTACACTCCATGAACCCAGGTGCTCTGCTTTCAAGTATTGCTTTCCTGTTTGCCCAGCAGCTGTTTCATCCCAGCGAGAAACCACTTCACAGCTCCGCTGTTTTCTTTCTGGGTGGACTTGTCAGCTCTGATCAAATCAGACTTTTGTTAAGAGTAAATTTCCTTTCCAGACATAGCTGATTACTCCACCCACTTCTACCAGATTTGATATGCTTGAATTTAGTCATTAATTCCTGGACACTTGTGTATTTTTGTTACTGAAATGGTAAGGCAATTTCTCGGTTCTCATGAGGGGCAGTGTTTGCAAAGGATTAAGTCACAGAAAATCTAACAGCTTGAAAGGGTTGTCTTTGGGCAGCCAAGTCATTTTAGGGGAAACCTTGTAAAATAAAGTTCCAGTATTACACCGGCCTTTAAGTATCTAAAAACCAAGAACCCAGAGTGCTTGAGTAACCAGTTTGGACAGATCAGATCTCCACACAAAATAACACATGTATCAGAGCAGGTGGAAGAAAAATGCTGCTTCTTGACGCAGAGCAAACATACAATTGAAGCCACTTTGTCATCAACAAATATTCTGCAGGATCATGAATTAACAGCAAGAAGGAGGCAGGAAGCAGAGGACAGCTTTGTATGTGATGAAGTTTTATTGATTCACAGTAATGATGAATGAATGGATTGTTCTGTAACTGAAATTTGCTTCTGACTCAGCCAGTGTCTATCCATAGTTATCCTAACTTTCCTCAAGGAAAAACATAACAAAACGTATCACCTTTATACCTTAATTTTTTACCTGCAAAATAAACATGTGGGTACAGATTACTTTTTGTAAGAGTACTGACAAAAAACATTTCCAGTTCATTTGGTGTCATCGTGTATGCATCACAGCTAAAAGCAACCTAAATCACATCAAAATGGCATGTTATTTTTACTCTTTAGATGAGGTCAAAGTCCCTGAGAGCACAGCGTTCTATGAATGTGATTGTAGATAAGCACCACGTAGCTCACACTCTCAGCTTTAAAGACAAAATAAAAGCATAACTGGCCATGGGAAAAAAAAGTCCCAGTGCTATGTCTACACCATGGGTACAAATACAGTAATATAATGAGAGTGGTAAATGTGAACCAACTTAAGCTATGGAATGATATATAATTTTAAATAACACACAGAACAGACCATAGTAATATGTCAATAGCAACTGTACACAAGCACAAAACAACAGACAAGCACATCAGCAATCACTCATTTTGTCCTAACATTTGTTTCTCCAACAGTTTTTAGTAATAGGGCTGACTGTGTTTGGCAAGGTGTGCCTGACTATAAAAGGTTATTCTAAAAAGCTACAAATTCTTCCTGAGCCTTATTCATGGAGTCATAAAGGCCCAGTGAGGAGGAAGATAATCCGTTAAAGAAATTAATGAAGTCTACAGTTGTCTTTATGAGTGACGTGTCCTTTCCACAATGTGTCCTGGAAACTGTTCATTAGAAAAACCACCTTAACAAGTTTAACCACTCAGACAATAAGCCAAACACATCAAACCCATCAATGGAGTCCAACAACACAATTAACAGATTAACACAAGTTCCAAGTTGTAAAGAAAATGGAGTTGCATCATTGTTTGGTGTGGAGCTACAAGGTTAGCAAAGAAAGTGTAGAAAGACACAGTATATTTTAGCGGGCCCAGCTTTAGTAAAATAAGGCCACTGTTTACTGTGTTGATGCATGAATTCAGGAGTTTATTTTTTCTCCCAGACAAACATGTTGTTCTCGTTGGGGAGCTGAAAATGCCAACTTGTGGTCTCTGTATGGCTGCCTACAAAAAGGCTGGTAGTAAAAACTGTATGTCTGCGTAAGTCCTTCTCCAAACTTAATCCCTTTCTCTCTTTCTGTCTTACTTTCTCGTTCTTTCTTTAAATCATCGTCTCCCTCGCTAAATCTCTCAGAAAGTCAGAATCTGTGTAAAGATGGAACTCCAGATTCTTGCTCTTTCCCTGATTCCATAAGAAACAATTCCATAGTGTTTCTTTATAAAGCACATGCTATATCCCTAACCTTAACCGTAACCTTAAGTCTAACCCAAACAGACATAATTAAAAGGCTTTTTATATGCTCTCAAAACCCAGCCTGCCTGCCTACCACAATACTGTGGTTTTGTCAGGCCGGTTCTCCCGCCCAGCAGAGAGGCTGGAAGAGAAAACTGTACAGTTACAGTTGTTTTAATAACTAAAATAAAATAAATCCACTATTATTTATTTGCATCATGGGAACTTACTAATACTATATCCTGCAACTACTGTATAAAATCAGTTTTTCCACCCTGGTTAATTACGTCAGAAAAATAAAAAATATATTCAGTACTGTTAAATAAAAGCTTGCTAACAAACTCTTTACTGAGCATGCTGTATATGTGTGAAGTCCATGAATAAATAAAGTAACAGCATAAATAGTACATTGTATATGAAAATTAAACACAAATCTTATATTTCACTTTCTGAAAATTAAAACACAACTGAGTATTTTTTCAGATAAACACCTTAAAAAGTCAATTTGGTGGCTAATTTAAAAAGTATGGGGGCAAAACTAGAATACTGATGTTTAAAAGATAAAGTGCTTTATTCCATAAAAATAATTTGACCATTTCTTACCTACTCTAGATGAGAAGCAAAACTTCGTAGCACAACTAGACTTTTATAAAACAATGATTTTGTTAAAAACCAAAGCAAAAATAAAATACCTAAATAACTGTAAAAGAAAACTACCCAAAATGCATTGTACAACACTCTTCACCTGAAATGTAGTGAGGTTAATATAACGACATACAGTATTGTTAAAGAGCACCAATATTGAAGTAATGTAAAAGCGCAACAATTACAAATGATTCAATAAGTAAAGAATTTGGTTGAAATAATGTCAACATCTTCTTCAAAGATTTTCATATCTTCTAGCTTGGGAATGAGATTTCCCAACAGCACCAGCTTCCCCGTTGTCTTTGTGACAGATTAGTTATAGCGACATTAAGGTCTTTCATGTGTGTACATTTTGAATAACTAACTTAAGTTACTAGTCGTCCACAATCACAAAAATCAGTATAATTTGAATCAATATCCAATATCTTCTTACTTAACTAGTAAAAAACATGTTGAGCTGTCTGGCACCTGTTCCACTCTTGTTGTCAATGGAGTCCCTGCAATGGTTGCTGCTGTGTTATGATGATCTTATGAATATTGTATCCACATCTGCCAAGGAGATGAACAGGTGCCGTTCTGTGTGTTCTCTGTTATTGTGGGTCCTAAGGTCCCAAGGGCCTGGGGCCATCGACCTCAGCCCATCCTGAGTAGTCTCTGGGCCCCACTGGAAGGTCTTCGTACTGGACCCTGGGATGGGCTACACAAAGTTGTTGGTGATTTGCCTCTGGTGCTCAAACAGGTCTTCAATCTCTGCACTGTATGCATCACCTATAAGGAAAAAAAAGACCATAGCTATCAGTGACAGAAGAGGGAAGGAACTGATGATGAGGATGAGAAAGAAGAAAAGGGTTTTCTGTGCTCACCTGCGTGACATCCATACATGTAAGCTCTGTGGCCATCATATTTGCACCGACATCTCATGACATTGTTCATAAAGTCAGACTCAGCCATGTCCATTGAGGGGTTGACTTCCACCTGCAAAAGACACAATCATACACAACCTCTGTTGACAACAAGCATGGATCCAATATCACAACAGCAGTTGTTTCTGACCTTATGACTTACAGCTGCGTATTTCATCATCACAACAAACATTTATTAGGAAACAGCGAGAGTTAATCACTTTGTTGTTCTCACTTTCATCTAATACTGTATCTCCAGCTGGTCAGGCACATGGTCAAACAAAGAACAAGTCTCCTCTCTCTACACACTGAAAAAGCCATTTCAATAAAGGGCAGTTGGATGTAAAATTGTTAGAGGGCCTGTTATTAAACAGCACTCGTGGCTGGTATTGTTTTTATAGTCTATCCCTTTCTCATCTATAAAAAGCTGGATGACTTTTCCATACAGTATTCCTATTTGGAAAGATAAATACACTGTAGACACAAGGTTCTCATGGACTTAATGTTGGAATGATGTTCACTTGGTAGTGTACAGCTAGGCATATGGACTGAATAACATGTGGCAGTAAAACACTTGCTTTTAACATGTTCTGCAAAGCACGAAACACACTGGTAGATCTTTAAGGAAAGCGTATCGTAAAATACTTTATAACTTGTATGAAAACATGTAACAAAGAGAGTCCTGCCCACACATAACATGACAACTGGCTGCATAAGAAATTACGCAACTTTACAGCTCAAGTTCATACCGCAGTGTAGCCCCCAGCTCCTGCAGAGGCTCTGCTCCTCATACCAACATAGGTATGCAATAATAAAGACTGAATTAGCCTGAAATTGAAGTCTGTTGCAATACAGTAGTTATGCATAGGCATGTTTATGTTTATGAAATCTGTCTTATTCTGAGTGTTACCATACGCTGTACTAATAGTCTGTCATTTGCAGAGCAGCTCTATAACTGCTGATATAACCAATTCTCTTAATCCGGTCTGGTGATAATACTGAGAAGCCATTTACTCTAATAGCTGCTCTGTAAACTGCTACACCCACTTTAAGTACATGTTACAAACAGCTACAGGGAGAAAGAAGGCAAACTACACAAAAACTTAAAAAACTTAGTGAATGCACAAAAACTCTTCTCTCTTAATTTCTCAGGGTAAATTACAGTGTTGGACCGGTGTGTACGAGGCTTTTGCAGAGGGCTGGTTCAGTGGCAGAATGTGTTACTCAGTGAGAAAGTGGCAATAAAAATAAAAACAGGGCAGAAGGAATTCCTTGGTGGCAAATTAGCCGTTCCTAATGGAAAGGGGGACTAGCTGCTGTTGGCTACAGGGAGGCAATAGTTAATTTGGGTAATTGGTGTGTTTCATTAGCAGTGGGTGGTTCAAGGGGAGGCCTGCTCAACCTTTCTGTAAAGCCCAGGATCAGAAAAGTCAGGCATCATCTGCACTTTACTAGATAAATGAAAGAACACAGAGCAGAGAAGCAGAGCTGCTGTAAAAGATGTTTGTATTTTTTCAATTCTGCAGCCTTGGTGAAAAACTAACTCTCAGCTTGGCTTACTTTGCAATTTCTCTTTTTTTCCCCCTCTCTTATTCTTCTCAGTTAAATTTGGCTATGTCCCCTTAGTGCTGGTCTCCTCAAGTGACCCTGACCGTTTTTCGAATTCTCCATTTCTGGCCTCTATCATTCATTCCTTCTTTCCGCCTCCACATTGTGCTGTAGCAATGTACTACTTTATAATTATACATGCTTAAAATACATCCAGTCGGCACATATATGTTTGTGTCGAGTCTATTATGAGTAAATTAAATAAATCTATTTTCCATAGAAGAGAAGTGTAATTACAACCTGTGACCTCTCAGACAAACTGGGTTAACAGCAGTAATTATCAGTCAGTCAGTCACACTGTAACCAGTCTTCAACAGCTGGAAGGTAATTTGCAGCACAAGATCTGAAGACTACTGCATACCATGGTCAGATCAGTAGTCTAAACTGGAAATGGAGGATAATGGGATATAGAGTCCTTGATGTGTTTTAGTGTAGTAGCCACAATGACTCGACTGATTGACCCTGGTCAAAGTAATAACAGACAGAGGAATGGTTGAGGTGATGACTGGGATGAAGTAGGTCAGGAGGGTTTACTGAAATAGATGGAAAACCCCAACGAATCGTGAAGAAGTCCCCCTGAAGAGCCTGTGAACCTCTTTCTTATTGTCTATGCCTTAGGAATAGGATTAGTTAAACATTTTTTTTATTAGATTTCTACTGCTCTCATACCTGTACACTAAATGTTATCTGTTAGCTTAGATTAGCAGAAAGACTGGATATGGGGAAACAGTAAGCCTGGCTCTGTCCAAGGGTAACACAATCCACATATCAGCTCCTCTAAAGCTGACTATGTGTTGCGAAAGGGGGAGATGTGAAAAACATAAAATGACTTCTGACCTGGAAGATGTAGTCTCCTGGCCGTACATCTGTCACGTCAATCCACTGGCAGTCGATATCATGGCGATATGTATCCCAACAGCCCACAGAGATGCCCTGATCACCCATGTTATAGCAGGAGAATCGCTTCTGGAGTCCTAACACACATACAAACACACCAACAACATTATCAATCACAGCATCAAAGCTCATTTGATGCTTGGCACTCCCTGTTATTTTTAAGAGCCTTTAGCTTCCTGAATTGTGTTAGACCACATATGAACTCTGCTTCTTCATGAGTTATTTCATCCATGATATAATAAGTAAATGGAGAGTGAACAAACAACAACAGCAGTGATCTAATACATTAACCACAAAGTAAAAATCTAAATAACTGTAGCTGAAATATTGATATTAATTTCCTGTCACTAATAGGAAAGACTATTTACTGGGACTCATGAATAGTGGTGAACATTACCATCGGGGCAGTACGTGTCCTCCAGACAGAAACTGGCCTTGTGTCCCTCTGCAATCCTCGTGCCATTCAGAGTCAGCAGGTCGTAATGTGTGAACACCTCGATGCTGTGATAGTGCCTAGGACGACAGAAGGGAAAGTCCAGGTGAGAGTGTGTACGTCTGTGTGCATTTACACTAACTGAACACTGGCTCCCTATGGCCTGTAGCCTAATGACCTCACTGCTTGAACATGAGCGTGGGTGTCACCGTAACACCTCTCATAGAAGCTTGTTTTAGGGCCAGCTTGGTTGAGATGTTTACTCACTCTGAGTGAAAGGAGGGCTTTGAAACTCACATCCATAGCTCTGATGTGTTGTTGTAACAAACTGAGGCAGACCTGATCATGCGTGAGCTACCCTGTCCTTTGTATAACATCCGAACTGTGGTAACTGGATTGGTTCAACCGTCATTTCCACAGACACGTGCTGCAGGGCGGCTAATGAATCTGGAGAGATGACAACACTGTTTCAGGCCACCCGTAATTTACTGGGACACATCTCACACAGCCAATACTGTGGCCTTCAAGTGGCTCCTTCTTCTCTCATGACGACAGGCCGGAAAGTGCTCTCGTCATTTGACAAGAAACCAACTGACTGAGGTGAGCAAACTAAGAGGTAGAGTGGAATGTGTTAAGAGTAGACCTGAGGACAATATTTCATCTATTTACAACTAATGGACAAAATGCTGCTAAGGCCTGGTGGCAGACAAAGGCTCTTATGTTTAATGCCTATGTTGCACGCTACCTGCACACCCCTCGTCAAACCATATGTGCACTGGCACAGGGATCACACGTCAGCATGTTTTCTTTCCAGTTAGCAATTGAACGCAATTAAATTAAATATAACTCAAATAACTCAGTGTGGAGGGAGATATGTCATTAATGCACGTACAAGCAACCTTGTGCGAGAAACAGGTGTTTGTCAGCCTCTAAAAACCACAGCTCACCCGTTTTCAGGACACTCTAAACCACAGTTTTCCTAAAAAACACTTAGAATAATCATAAGGGCAACCACAACATCCCAAAAATAGTAAGTATTTAAACAGTTCTTTCCATTGCAACAACCTACACACCACACAGTGATGTAACACCTTCATAAACTCCTCAGGGATGCTCTACCTGTGACACTGGTGCCATGTCCAGCTCTCTCTTGTTGCTTTGGGTCTGAAATCTGACCGACCCAGGTTCATAATGCGGGAGGAGAAGCGCAGCAGGCGTCGGTGGCCATAAGGCCAGTTCATCCTGGCAGCAGACGAGGACAGACAGTTCTCCTCATTGGCACAAGTCAGCAAGTGGAGGGGTCGGTCTTCTAGGTAGGCTGTTTCCTGGACCAGCTGGGCATCCAGAACGAGGTCAGGTGCCGCTAAAGTAGGTCAGATGTGAGAGGTTATGTGAGGATTCAAAGAAATTTAAAAGCAGAGGAGCTACAGGAAGATGGCTCCACTTACTGTCTGAACAGCTGACCCCCGCAGCCTTATTTCCACCTCCCCGAGGACAATGGACATGGTTGTTGCGACGACACTGTTGAATTGAAAGCTCTGTGCCCACACAGTGAGTGCCACTGAGAATCACATCAGCTGCATTTGGGTCACCCGACCAGTACCAGGTCTCCTGTGAAAGGGAGGGCGTGGGGTGGGGTGACAGGACATCAGGTATTCTATCAATGAGCAGTATCATAGCTCATTGTCCACCAAAGTGGATAGGGGCTGCGACTATGGATTGGCCTCCATGTGTTCATTTGTTTAAACATCTGTTTGTTTGTTCTGTCATCAATAACTCAGACACTGCTGATAGGATTTTGACAAATCTTAGAGGAATGATGCCTCAAACCACTCTAGTCTGACATTTTCAAATTTACACTTATTGGTTTAGAGGTGGGAGTGCCACATTGTTTGTTCCATCAGGACATAATGCCTGAAATTGCAGACACGGATGATCTGAAAAGTTGCCGGTTGGACGTTGTGGAATTGTCAAAATGACCCAGGTTAAGGGGTGGCACTACAATCAGAGATCAAACTGACATGCTTCCTCAGTTATAGATGTGCTGTTGGTCAGAGGGACTGTTACCTGATGAGCACTGGCAGCGAAGCCCAGGCCGAGCTGTCTGCATACCACCATGGCCTCGTTGATGCCCCAGTTCTCACTACAGACAGAGCCCCAGCGCTTACGACCCCCAACCTCAATCAACACCTCCACACGGCCTTCTGACGGGACTCTACCACCAGCAAGCCGCACCTGGAAATCCATTAGATCAAAGGGATTAAATGGGTGATGAGCTATCAGTGAAAGCTGATAAGTGTATGTTTTGTGTAGTTTTCATACCGCGTTCTCTATGCCAGTCTTAGGGACGTTACAGCGTACTGAGGCATCCTGGCTGTGTTTGAATGTCCACGGTTGAACTTCCTGGAAGTAGCAGTCTAGGATGGAGCGCTCTGACCCCATACACTGGACACTGTTCATATGAATAGGTCCTGTACCTGCAGCGGGAAGAGGAGATTTAAGGACTACCCTGACAAATAGAAAACAGGGACAATACAGAAATCAAAAGAGCTTGGAGATAACTGCAGGACAACATTTCTTGTGCACTGCTTGGGGCCACCCAACATAGACCCAACATAATGAGATTAACAGGCTTTATCACGCAAAGGAACACAAAGGCACACTCTGTATTTCCTTTCAAGTGTGCTTTCTTTACTTTATCGTCAAACCAAGAATGAAAAGTTGCCACGACAAAAGGCTCCGGCAAGCCAAGCAGAAGAGCCACCAACATCAACTTTGAGGATCTGTCATGCCTCATTACCACCATTCTGTTGCTTTAGGCACAACAACAACGAAATTGTGTGTAGTCCACCACCCTGGGTGAGCAAACAAGACCAAATCTGTGTCAACAAAATAAAAGACTTTCACTAGTATTCGTTTGACGTTTAAAACCAGATAATTTCCAAACATACAAGATGGTGGAAAAAAACCTTAAAATGGTGTGAAAGCAAACAGCTCCTGCCATAATGACTGCAGCATATGAAAACAGAACAAACTATGGCTTCTGTATTTTCTTAAAACAAAAGGCACAAAATGCAAACTTGGAGATGAGGTTGAAATGAACATAGCCAAAACCACATAAACTGGGGGAAAGAGAGAAAAACCAAGAAAGAAGGGTGAAAAAGAAGATGACTGAAATGGTAGGGACCAGATTGCAGCCAAACCCAATCTGTCTCTGTGTTGGTTTGGTAGATTGCAGGCTTGCTTCCATACTGGTCACCATGCGTGGGTTCACACGTATGAAAAAGACACATCTAAACCACTTCCGCCTCTATCTGTATGGTAAAGGCCATAAACTAGATCTAAACTCCCACTGTTTAAGTTATCAAGACAAACACGAGGCCCACTTGAGGGATCCTCAAAATGAACAGTGACATGTTGTATTTAAAGAGTTTTGGAAATCCACGAAAACCCGAAATAAAATCCAAGAACTGGCCACACACATTTAACATGCACACAACACGAGCAATCAGGGTGTTTTACTCCCTTATGTACGTATAGTACACTAAATGTATATGTACTTCACAGGCCAAATTACACAGTGAAATAACAATGTTAGCCAAGAAAGGAAATAGAAACATCGTCCCTGTAATTTAAATCACTGATGGTGATGATAAATGAAATGATGATGGGTGTTAGAGGGTTGGCAGATGGAGTCTGAACTGATCTTATAAAATTTTCTTCACTTTCATTCCTCCTGACATTAGTTTCCATAAACTTCAACATAAAATGTCAAAGATTGACAGCAGATACAGCTATGCAAGCAACACTGAGGCATAATATAAATGTGGTAGCTTAAATTCAGAATTTACAAGAAAAAGGTTGAGCTTGATTGCCATATAATTAGAATTGGCAGATGCCACAGATCATTTGGACAGATTAGAAAATTGACTTTAGGGGATGGAAATAGGGTAACATCGGTCACATTCTTGTTGAGAATAGCACAAATAGTTGGTTAGTGGTTACAAGGGAAACCCTGTTCTTTTCTTCTCTGAAATTACACTCCGTTTTAGGCACATTAATGTAGTGTGTGTAGTGTTTTTCTTTCCATGGAACGTCTCTTTCTATGCCTCTTTCTAACAAAAACCTTCTGTCATCAGACAGATCTGTTTCTTAGCCAAGTGCTAAAATCATTTAAATTTGTAAATAGGTCTGTCTGCCTGTGGGCTTTAGATGGCAGAAGCCAACCACCATCAAAGTAATGTTTCCTTTGACAAATGTATTTCAAAGCTGTCTAACAAGTTATGAGGTGACACTTCACTTATCTCAGTGGGGGATACTGTGTGTGTGTGTATGTGTGTGTGTGTGTGTGTGTGTGTGTGTGTGTGTGTGTGTGTGTGTGTGTGTGTGTGTGTGTGTGTGTGTGTGTGTGTGTGTGTGTGTGTGTGTGTGTGTGTGTGTGTGACGAGTGTCTTTGTATACCTCCCTCGCAGATAACTTTATATGTGCAAGCAAGTGTTTTAACAAATCTGATGGGTGAGACCACACTCAAAGCCAGAACCTCTGATTGGCAGACTGTCTACCACCCTCTCGGGCCAACCTGCCAGTCGACCACAACCTTTATCACATTATCACATTTAATCATCATAAATAATTCAACACTCTCCTGTGGGGTCCTGATGCTACAGACTGCTGACTGAAAGATTTGAAAGTAATCATGAGAACTTTTTTTTCTCACATGCTGTCAGAGGGCAAATGTAATGCAGTGTGATGTGAATAGTGTATTACCATCTATCTCAATATGTTTATGATATAATGATAAAAAAAATAAATTATCATAAATAATAAAAACAAATGAACTGTATGCACAACCCAAACATTTGTATTACATTTTAAAAAATTCATGTTCAGGATTTCTTCTTTCTCAGTGATGGATCTAAGAGTCTAATTTAGGCGTTTTCTAACAACATATACCCCTGTGTTTATGTGGCCTTCGAGCACGTGGAAAATTATATGTCACAGTAAAATGTCTAACAGGCTCCATGCTATAGAAAGGAAGCTGTGAGAGGACTTTGTAGTCCAATCATCCTGCAATGGCAGCGTATATGTAAGTGTAAGACAGAGACAGACAAAAAGTGAGAGTACTGTACAGACAGTATGTATATTTATGTGTGTTTAAGTTAGTTTATAGCTCCCTTTTTTAATTGTGTGCAAGTGCAACAACAAACACAAAGTCTTGTGCACTGTGGGTGAAGTTGAATAAAGATCTGGAGGTTGTGGCGATTAATAAATAGACTCAGCCAGTCACATCACTGGTTGCTCTGAAACAGCTGTGCAAATCAAAGTAACACATGAACAGAATAACCACTTCTCCAGAAGGCCAGAGCCAGAAGTCAGATGCTGTGGTATTTTTTAACGGTTATTTAGTACAATGATGACAGAAGCGAAAATTGTTTTGGTGAAGCAATTTATATGATCGAATCAATCTAACATAATTTCACAAGTCATATTTCTACAGTTTTTCACATTGTAAATGGTTACAAAATGCAGCGTTTGCTTTGTAATGCATTTCAAGAATTAGAGACAAATGGCTGATTTTCTTTTAATAACTTGGAAACGCAGTGACATACAGGATTAATAAACTCCAGTAATCCGATGTCTGTTGCATAAACAGGTAGAATACCGAGTTGTAGCCGACCAGTTTAATGTGTGTAGAGGTGTGTGCTTATTTTGGAGCAGCCTTGTGTCATTTGCATTTATTTGTTCAACAAGCATTATTGCCTTATTTCTGCACATTTTCTCCAAGTATTTACTGTGCTACTTTTAATAAAATCATCAAAGTGGCAGCTGAGTCAAACAGAGAGCCAAAAACAGACGTGGTTCTGAGACGTCTACCCTCAGTGCAAGGCCTAAGACACATTTCAACCAAAATACTAACAAATTACTTTGCACTGCCTCATTTGAATGAATATCCCATCTGTTTGCGACTCTCCTCCCACCTGTGCACCAATATACCAAATAGATGGGCAAAGCCAATTTCAAGGTCAGACAAATACCAATTGGTTGGAGTGTTGCCTGCGCCGCCACAAGAATAAAGCTCTATGTGTGTGAGTGAGTGAATCACCAGCTCAGGAAACATGCTATAGGAAACCTGCATTTCTAGGAGTGAGACAGCAGTGATATGAGGTAAAAGTGGAGGGTGAACCTGCTATTTGTCAAACCAATTATTACACACACACACACACACACACACACACACACACACACACACACACACACACAATCATGCAATATATACATGCTAGCAATTGCACACTTGCACATACACAAATGTGGCTTTGTGGTTAGATCGAGGAAAACCTATTTTTGGTAGAAAATTGGAAGCTTTTTGGCCCCTCCTGACAATTAAACACCTCTGCTTCAGACTGCTGGAACCTTGATGAACCTGAACACCGACACAACGACTGAAGGTGGTGATTGAAACCAGACGACAAGAGCTGTGAAGCCTGGTGCAATGTAAATCCCCTTAGAGCAGCCAACTGAACTTAAGATCTGCTAGATTCATCAAAAAGAAAGGTAGTATAAATGACATCATCTACAGAAAACCCAATTTATGAGGTTAAAAAGTAAAAGGGACTAATCCAACACATACAAAAATATCCTTTCTCTGATTAACTAAACCTGGAGACTGTCATCCCACATTTCATCTCGATCAGCATGATTAGAGACTACACCCTAGCCTGAGGCATGGGGAAGCCGTTCTCACATCTCGTAAGGGTGGGGACACCACTGGCGCAGCTGGATGCTGACTGAATCTGTGCATCACCAAAGCTGGAAATTTAAAATCGAAGTTAAAAGACCACAGCATTCACACAGTGAGTGAATGAAAAGCTTGCTTGAAGATTGCAAGATTATGTCTGTGGATTTAGTTACCAAATGCCAATGTTAACCACCGTGGCTTATGGTATTACATTTTGAGTGTGTGTGTGAGTGTGTGTGTGCACATGTGCATGATGTTTAGGCAGCTGGAAGCCCTGGCACAGGACTCATGTAATCACAGCTGGAAATACTGCAATCAACACATTTGGAGCTTCACAAGGTAACATACACAGACAGACAAACACACGAGCCCATACATTATCTGATCAGTCAGGGCAGACGGGTGCGGCGTCTAAGATAAGCAAAAGATAAGCAAAAGATTTGAAAACTCTCCCAGTCTTCTCTGGAATACCATGACGCATGATAAACACATTCAAACATCCAAATTGCAGACTCAAAACAACCAGATCAAATGTTGAGTTCTCCAGAAAATCATCAGTCTAGGGTGTGAAAGTCTTTGCTCTGATCAACAGCACTTCTCTCTCTTACCTTGACCCATAAAGGCGCCGTGCAGGGCATCCTTGGCAGTACCAAAGCCCAGTTCTCTGCACACCACGGTGGCTGCAGTTCTTTCCCACATGTGGTCTACGATGGTCCCCCATTTTCCGTCTCGGAGCACCTCCACACGACCCTCACCCAGCCTGGGGCCAGCCTTCAGACGCACAGGCTGTACAGGGCAGCAAAGGGAATATAACTCAGCTTACACTTACATGCACACACTGTATAACTGTGCCTAACTGTGTTAATCTTACCACAACTGGATGAGGGGCCTGGGGTCTTCCTGAGGAGATGCGAGCAAACTGAGGTCCTGGTACACACTTGACTACTGCATGTCTCCCATTCTTACACGGGGTGGGACTACGGGGGATTGACAGCTGAGCAAGGCACTCAGACAGGGTATTCTCATTGCCCAGACAGTGAACTTTTTCTACCCAGAATCCCTTCTTCTTTGACATGACACTCAATCTAGAAAGAAGAGAAAGTTTTTGTTAATATATTCTTAAAGCCCCTGAAAAGTTGGTTTAAAATCCTTAGTATTTCTCAGTAACATTAAATATGTATCAACAATCAAGAAAAACCTCCTTAGCTACTGTATATTATATTGAGTTCAACACTCAAAAACTAACTGTTACTTTAAGATTGCGTGGGTTTGGTTTGATCAGATTTGACTAACCATGCTGGAAACATAAGCAAACAACCCCACATTTTTGATCATATTTTGATTCAAATGTTGCTAAACTCTGATGGGTGCATGGAAATATGTGATATATGCAGATACTTGTCTTTTTATTACCTTGTTGAAGGATCTGCAACCTTGGTATCCCATATTTTCCTGTAAAAGAAGCAAAGAGCAGAGATGGATGTTAGTTCTATCAGATCTGTATATCTGTTGAGGTTACCAACACACACATATCACCCAATGGGGTGACCTGGGTGACCGGTTTGTCATGCAAAGAGTTAGTGACTGTAGGATATACTGTAGCATCTGCTGTTTGTTTTATATGTGACCTGGCCACACAGGAGGGATTTCTGCCACAGCGAGTAGCAGCAGAAACACATAAAGAAAAGTAGTCTTACAGGGCTACTTGGTGATGACTTAAAATAGTTACAGCTCAGACGCTGACTTTATCGAAAAAAATTAATCATACAGCTCCAAATAGAGCTTCTGTATATAAAACCAGAATGACTTGTGCATGTGGCTTTGTGGTGAGTGTAAAGTTAGGTATATTGATGGCAATGACTGGTAAAGTTTCAGGAAAATGCACTGTTCTTGTTCTCTTTCAGCAACTTCACTTTCCTTCTCTCTTTTTTGCTTTGTAAGTTCAGTAGCATATATTTCCATCTGGAATGTGGGCTGCTTGCTATTTACCATGTTTATGTTTAGAGTGGCCAGTGTATCATATGTTCCTGAGCAACAGTACTTCCTGTCACCAACAGGAATGTGCTGCTGGGTAATTTTTATCCAAGTCACCCACCTTCCTGCATTAATTCAGATGTACTTGCCCTTTAAACTAACATAGTTTAACATACCCTTTGAATATAAGACTTTAGCATTTGTTATTGCGATGTAACAGAGCTTTGTACATAACTACAGGATGTAAGCACTATAAAAGGCTAAAAAAAACAAACAATATATTTTGAACTATATTTTTAACCTCCAAGCCACATGCCATCTCAAAAAATCATGACATTCAACATCAATGATGTACAACATTTCTGGGAAAACAGGGTTTGACCAAGCACGATATACAAACAAAAACTCTGGCATCGCGCCGTGGTGCACGTCCGAGAAATGCCAGAATCAAAAAAAGATTTATGCAGCAAGTAGGCTGGCTGACTCGGGAGAGCGGTGGAGAGGAAAGCCTTCTGTTCTCTTGGCAGACACGCAAAGCAGACATGCCACACAGACCATGCCAGGACATCCTCAAACCACTGCAAAGTGCATCCACCATCACCGACATTCACATCAATTACACCAAAACACTCAGAGATACACACGCTACAGCCTGACTGATGTTTCAAAGGTCCCTTAGCACAGCTGTTCTTTATACAACAAGTGCTGCTGGAATTTTGACCTCTTCAGTCTTTTACGCTTCTCCATGTACACTGGAAGTAGGTGAAGTTGCCTACTCTGATATTTCACAGAGCTCATTATCAGCCAATGTTGGTATATAACAGATATTCTGGTGGTGCTATATAAGCTTGTTGAAAAAGTTCTTTACAATATTCATTGTCCATTCACACCCTGATGCAAGGTGAACTGACCATCAGAAGCTATTTGGGGTTCAGTGTCTTTCACTGTTTCAATGTCCACAATATATTTATTGAGCTCTAAAATGTACAGCTGGCAGTCCTCAAAATGAAATGGTGAGGTGTAGTTTCCATTAAAATACCTTTGAAATCACCTTGTACATTACACATCAGCATGGCATCACAGGTCTTCTTTAAAGAAACAAACATGTCTAAGGATATTTTCATGAAAGTACAGGCAGGTCAATATTTGAATTTCTGTCATGAACTCTAGACATTCCTCTTAAGGTAAAGTTAAAAAAATAAAAAACTCTTTGCAAAACAAACTGAGGATGTTGGAATCAATAGAAGCATTGTCACAACATGATGTTATGTAGATGGCTGTGTGAAGTCATGGACTGCTGAGAGAACACTTTCCAAAATCACATAACAACTTGTTTCCTGATTCTGTAAGTCAATGAGCCAGAAGAGACCTCTCATCAAAAATATTTTAGAAGTATTTGGTAAGGAAAACAAGCATACTTTCATTTCAGCAACCATTTACTGTAGTAAATAGAGGCCTTTTACAATTGAAGCTCCTATTTTTAGCTGAAACACTTCAAATGGACTTCAGGTTGTTCCTCAGGCCCATTTGAAGCACAGATGTAGTTCTGAAGAGCTCAAGGAAGTTCTTAAAAGCTAAAACAGACTTCTTGCTATCTTTCAAAGTTATATCAAACATTTGACTTGATGAGGCAGAAAAAGCCCATAACTTTAAATCACGTGCATGGCTCTAAATAAAGCATGGCTCTCTGTAAATGGCAACTGACATATTGTATGGAATCTACCACTTATTCTTTACAGTGTCTTGAAGTACACTTGTAAAATATCTTAAATGTGTCTACCATGTGGCTCTGCATGTCATCGAGGATAGACAGTGAGGAGCATACACATACACACACATTTTCCCATGAGGCAAACATGTCTGTGACTTGTTTGTGACCTCACCACAGACCAATCAGCTAACCATTTTCCCTCTTCAGAAACCAACAGGACTACTACACAGACTATAAATGATCCCTTCAGGTCTTTCATTTGACCGAACTACAGCACTGTCTGTTAATGCTGAACTTCATTCAAGGAAAATAATATGCATACATGACACTTTTCGAATATATATCATCAAATACTTAACAATTAGGTCTTTCTCTAAGTTATGAAAGGTTTAATTAATTCTATATAAATGCATGTGACTGTAATAGGTAGTATGGCCTGTATGTGAGTACTTCTCCGCAAGCTATGTGCTGAACAGACAGCTTCAGAATTAGTTTGTTTTCCACCTCCATAGCATTCATCAGCTTTGCTTAACCAAACAGTGTATCCAGCACTTGTTGTGGAGCCAAGAGAACAGAAGGTAATGATAGGGAGTCCCACCCGCCTGTTAAAAGACAAGCCTCACACCACCGTTTGGGTTTCATCACCCTCACACTGCTCCAATGTATCTTTTGTTCATTTAAAAATGCTAAAAATGTATCTTAAATTAAAAAATCAGTAATAGAAAAGTCAGGGTGCCTATCAGATTTAAATAATACCATGTGCATTGCAATGTCAACTTTTCCTATTTGTACTACCAAATGCATATTCTGAGCTGAAAACACAACACATTTTAGGTGCTTGGGAACATTTTATCAGGGTTTAAACTTTATGCTCCTTTAAAAACTTTGAACCTTTTATAACCTATGCTAGGGGTACCAAGGATGCTATAATATATTACCATTACCACCTGGTTTACGAAATGCTTATTCTGCTCATTAGGTGGCATTAGGGTGCTTGAAACTATTTTTTGCAATACAAGAAGTTATCTTAATGGTACACCTCACGCTCAGCTGAAGAAAAATGAAAAAAAAGGCCAAAATGAAACATTAGTTCTCAAAGCCAACATTAAATATTTTAGAAGATTTAATTACCCTGCTTTGAGTATCTATGAAAAAGATCTTGCATGTCAAATAGTTGCTAAATAGTTCCATACCAACCAGAGTGAGCTGATAAAAATCAACACGCTTCAACTCAGTTTTTAAAATAATTAATGCTTCCACAGTCTGTTCCGGGCCACAGAAATAACCACCGGTAAGCATACAGAAATTAAAAGATGGTGAAATAAATTAGAGAGAAGGTCATTGAGGAAGGTCACACACACATCAGACAGGAAAACCAGACTCGGTCACCCAAAATGTCACCCAAAAGCCTAAAAATGATACCCTTATCGTAAGAAAATTTCATCTAAAACATAATTAAACATAAAATACCAGTTAAGTCCCCAAATCACTATGGTGACAGAGGAAGACAGACAGCTGCTGACACAGCGGGCCGCGCTTCAAACTGCAGCTGTAATTGGACATATTTCACACGAGCAAGCGAAAATCTGGCTCGTCTGCCTGCAGCTCTTGTTCGTTCTCTCCATCTCCTCTTTATCCTGTTACTCTCTTCCTCCTCCTTTGCCATCTCCGTCTTACTCTCTCTCACACACACAGCTATAATTGGGGGTGTTTTTTTCACTCTCAGCAGAAACCCCGGAGAGCCTCGGTCCTGACCAACCTGTAATTACAGCATCTTCAGAGTCTCATCCAAGAGACACAGGAAGCCGAGAGACATGGCATGATCCAGGATTTCTAAGAATGGACTGAGAGACTTGGAGCAAGGTGGGGAAACAGGGGGGAGTGTCACAGGCTAAATATGGACAAACCATGCAACACAATCCTAAGCTTTTCTGGCATCCATTAAAGTGGAAGATGTTACATGAAAACTGAACATCATATTGTCACAAACCCGATTGTTTTTTGTTTTGTAATTATAATGACGGTGGCAATTTCAGTCAGAGTGAAATCCTTACAATTACGCCTAAGTTAAGGCCTGAAACAGCATTACCTTTATTTCAAGTATTCCTCTGTTTATAACTGCCAGTTATATATAAACATCCAAATACAATAACAAATATAGGGTTTCATCCTGATTTTAGAAACCAAATATGGTAAAAGAACTCGAGTATAACACTGGCAGCTAAGTCACTGAGGCATGTGTACACCTAGAACCACTTTGAAGTCAAAAACATATGTGAGGGAGAGGGAACAAATATGCATTTGTGGAGATAGAAAACAGGTACAGATTTGGAAACAAACACATCATCGTGGTTCGGACCAGTATAGCTTCTGAGGCTACAGCAAAACACCAGGTCATACCCCGGACAGGCAGACCAAAATGTATCATGTCACAACTGCTTCCATGCCAGAGCCTTATAATTTACACACACAATAAAACTAAAATCAACATATTTCTCCAAACTTCATTTAGAAGCGGATATGTTGGATAAACATACTTATACATATGCTATTGTTCAAGTTCATTTTCCTTGACCTTAGAGGAAGACTAAAAAACAAATCCTGAAACAGGCAGTGAGCAGATTCCCTGCAGGCTTCACTCCAAGCCCTTCAAGCTACAGAAGCCCTGTCCTCCTCTGTCATATCTCTCTTCTTGGTGAGCAGCCAAATCTCTTATGTTGCAGTCACGCAAATCTACCCATCTAATTCCTCAACTATTACTTGTAATTCTCATCTCCCATTCTTTGCATCAAGCGTCGAATCTGCGTTGCGATAGAAAATCAAAGAGAGGCATGAAAAGCATCAGACCTGCAATGCGGGGAAGTCGTGCTCTAATAAATGATCCTGTACAGATCGTGTACAGAGTCAGGCCGGGGCTGTTCAACGACACCTCATTCTGAGGACCTTTTATTACTGAAGATATGATGCCTGATGATGCCCTCCTCCAACAATAGAATCCAGTTATAGCGTCACTGTGTTCCCAATAACACAGAGTTCAGGGGAGATAGCTAAATTCAAGGACAATGGAGAAATACTTTCAGTGAGTGAGCCAGTGCACCAATAGGGGCAGTTTGTAAAGTCAATAAAAAGTTAGAAAAGTCTATAAAACAAATAAGTTACCCCCTCAACAGTTACAGCCTTTCAGTAGCAAGAGGAATCTAGCACCTACAGTACAGAGCAGATGTTGCGGTCTGTCGCCAGTTGAGTCAGAATAACACCAGCCAAGAGAGGGAAGGAATACCTAAAATGTGAATCACCTAGAGCCGGCAGCTCTCCAGAAGCAAGATCCAACTGGGTCCCCCTTCTACTGAGGACAGCGAATGGTCAGACACTATTCATTCTTATAATAGCAATGGAGTAATTCTCTGCTAATGTGTGGTCCCGCAGCGGTTTAAGAGCAGAGCCTTCCCAAAAACCACTGTCAATGTTTTTTCTTTCAGTGGGAGGGGAGGAAGTGTAAATCTGTGTCAAAGGGGGAGAAGGAGACACCTAAATATAATGCATTTAAGCATTGGTCTCATTGGGACAGTGCTTGCATGAGAGTATGTAGGTGTACATGCTTGGACAGGGAATTGAACCTCAACACTTTTAAAAAGGAACAGCTTGACATTTTGGAAAATATGTTTATTCACTTTCTTGTCAACACTTAAATGAGAAGATTGATACTCTTATGTCTGTCAGTTGATATGTAGCTTTAAACAGCAGCTGGTTAGCTTAGCATAAAGACTGGAAATAGGGGGAAATGGCTATCCTGGCTCTGTCCAAAGGTAACAAAATCCACCAACCAAAACTCCTTGTAAAATGGCAAATGTAATTCTTTTGTTTGATTTGGACAGAGCAATGCTAACCCTTGTTTCAAGTCTTTATGCTAAGCTAGGCTTACCGCTGCTGGCTCGAGCTATACATTTTTACCGTACAGATATCAGGGTGCCAAAAGTACCAACACCAAGGATTGAATGCTTGGTCATTCTTGTTTACTTATCATTTAATAAGTTATTGATTTTAGTCATATTTTTCCTAATTTGTGTGTGTTTCATTTAGGAAAGTTCTGTTTTGGTTTCTCTGTCTCAAGACAAAATTAAACACTGATGAATTTGTGAAGTTTCTTTTATTTTGTTAAATCCTTATTGAACACAATTCTGTTTCCTGAAGTAATATATTGAAAGTTGTGTTGTACCAAGACAAAGTATTGTATTGGCAACTGTATCAGAAAAACTTCAAATGATGCCCAGTGCTAGTACACACACACACACACACACACACACACACACACACACACACACACAGTTGGAGTGGGATGTAATAGTGAAGAAGAGATGCATGGCTGACTCAAGCCTGCAGACGCTGCACTGCCAATAAGACGAGTCGCTTCACAAAGACCCACATCCCCCAATAGCTACCCCTGTCTCACACATGGTATCAATGGGAGAGTTAAAGCACAATCAGCAGTGATATTACACCTCGGCATGGGAATCTAAAAGTTAAAGTGGGGCTGTTTGTCTGAGAGCTGCAAGCTGAAGATAGCATCAGAGAGAGACAGGGAGAGAGAGAGTGAGAGAGAGGTAATGAGGTGAGCAGAGGTGATTTGCCTAGCGAGGGGTGTAGAGAAAGGGCAGTAGAGAGGGGACAGGGATCCCTTTATCATCATCGTGAGGCTGAGGGAGGGAGGGGGGAGTAAAGGGGGACACGGGGGGAGAAGTAGCTGGGGGAGGAAGATAAGCCCAAAAAAAAGGCCTTTACTCAAAGTGGCTTTAAACAGGATGCCACTGTTGTTTCTTTATTCTTCAGGATGTGTTTTTATTTACTTAACAATGGGATGAATGGCATAGCATGTTGGCCTTCTGAACTACAGTCAGCAGCCCACTGTTAGCTAATCTAATAATGTGAGTTCATAAAGGTGGATTGTGATTCTCAGTGCAGCTAGCAGAAAAAAATCATACTCACTTGTATGTTTTGACATTGTGCTTAGTAGCCTCTGGGAAGCCGAGCATCCCACACACGACCCGGCTGCTGTTGAGACTCCAACCCAGGTCACAAACCTGCCTCCATCTACCAGCATGCTTCACTTCCACCACACCCTCTGTGATCAGGCTCTTTCTCTTGGTAGCCATGAGGATGGGACGAAGACGGACCTCTTCGATTTGCACCTTAGTCCGACCCTTGAGGTAGAATATGTATATCACATCTACAGTTACATGTCTTTTTAAGGAAAACAGAGAAATGTATCAAAAGTAAAGTAATGTACCTGGTAGTGGTGTCTTTGGAACCTTGGGATCTCTTGTGGGTGTCCGTTTCCATAATACCCGTATCCTTGATGCCCGCGGGAGACCACGGGACCTTGCCACTGAGGTGCGGGGCTGCCATTGGGTCTGGCGGCGGTGGTGTGGCCTCTGCTGGCTGACAGATCCAGCCTGCGCTCAGGAGTGCACACCACCCCCAAGTCTTCAGAGTGTTTACAGTCATTCACCCCCCAACCGTTGTGTTTGCAGTCCGTCAAGGACTTCTCTGAGCCATCACAACGTACATTATCCATCCATATTGGACCTTGTGAAAGGATAAACAATCAATTACTTCATTCATTGTGATTTTCATTGATTGTTCAATGGACAGACTGGGCAATGCATCTACACAAGGGCCCGAATCAGTCCCTAAACACCTTACACTTGACTTTTACTGGCATGCTGATTTAGGGTTGCACCTTAGCGGCGTGTTAAGCAGTAGATACACAGTATTTTACAAGGCAGGGTGCTGTAGATCCTGCTCCTTGAATCCACTCAACCTTCTCTTTAATTTGGATTTAAAAGCAGCAGTAAAGAATGTACATAAACCACAGCAAGTGTTGCACAACTCTGGCAAGCGAATGCTGTCATTATTCTGAAACAAATGCCCCTTTTGGGCCATATATTTGCTCCTGTAGCCTGCCAGGAGACCTTAACGAGATGTAGACTCCAATCCCACAACAAGTTATCTTTGTCACTTTATGATGTTAGTTATTTTGGATGTCTTAATTGGTGGACCTTTCATGAAGCCACACACAAGCATACTATAGTATGGATGTTTTGGTAAAGACAGGTTGGTATAAAGTGGCCCAAAAGGGCTGCCTGCCATTGAGTCTGAAACATCTATAATTTAATAAATGTATCAGAATAATAGAAAAAACCTCAGGTGAAATTAATATAATTAATAATAGCTCTGTTCCAATCAGAGCAACATTATGCAAGAATTGGTATTGGTAACTTGGCGCTCCAATTTCAGAGTGCAGTTCACTATTACACCACTGTGCAACAGTGAATCACTGAGGTGATTTACCACGGCTCTGACCAGGACTTATGGATAATATTCTATGAAAAAAATGATTTCTGGTTTTCCTTCTCAGGTCCTTCATTCCCAAAGCTCCTGTGCTAGCGGTGTAAACACCAACACTAAACTCTACTGTCCATCACGAAACTCTGTAAATCAAAGAGTTATTTGTGTTATTTGTATCAGTGGTGCCTGGCTCCAAGAAACACTCTGGTCTGCTGTCTATCATTTTTCCAACCTAATTCTTGTCTAATTTGTGGCCTGATAAAGTTAATTCATGAAATGCAGGAGATTGTACCTGGCAACCCAAGTTACATAGTGCAAGAACAGGCGTTCTGGGTGCTGAGAAGGAATTACAGAGGCAATATTCTCCCTATTACAAGTCAGTTTATCATCAACATGATTTTGAAGATGTTATTTTGAGGTAAAGTAATTGCATAATGTTGCTTTAAGTGCATCAGTAAGCCACCAGGGAGCCAGCATGCACACTGGCAAACAGTTAGGCCTAAAGCTAAATGGACTGCAGCCCTTATTGATATGAATTACATTGTGGTTTTCCTGCTATGTGAAAAATGTGTAGGCCTATCACAGTCAGTTTGTCTTAAGCCTACAAAGAAATGGGGATATTTGACCTTTCTTCAGTGACATTCAGACTACTAAAAATGGCTTCAGTGTAATTAGATACGGGAAGTGCTCTCACCCTCTCCCTCTCCATACTTGGCGCTGTGTGCCCACGTTATACCACCCTGGAAGCCCAGCTCTCGGCACACCACGTTGGCCATTTTGATGTCCACTTCATCATCGCAGACGGTCCCCCAGGTGTTGTTGTGCAGCACCTCCACGCGCCCTTCGTTCGGTCCTCGCGCATAGTTGCCCGCCAAACGCACCTTGGCGGCCGGTGCGCGAGCCGCCCTGCGCTGAGAGGACGCGCTCCTCCGTGGTTCGGCGTGAGCGGGACAGGAGGAGAGGGACAGCAGGAGGAGGAGGAAGCTCAAGCAGAGGGTGCGGGTCATCGTGACTGAGAGGAGGGGGGGTCTGCAGGTAAACGTTGAAACACTCAGGAATCAAGTTTGTTCCACTTTTGTTGAATTTTATGGTTTTGCAGGTTGTTTCATTCATTTTTGTTCAATTGACCAGTGGAGTTATTTAACTTTAACATTGTCAATTAAGCAGCCAGTTTAGAGCTGCAGGCTAATTCCTCTGTAATGAGAAATATCCAGCATCACTTTTAGATTAATGCTGAGACTTAAACTACAGTGCATTAAAAATGAGTAGGTGTTAAACAGACAGCCACCGGGGTGTTTGGTTATTAAACGGAACAACGGTGACATCCTCTGGACAAAATAGTTCAGGTAGTCATGGCAGAGTACAGGCACCAGGAAGGACTCCACTCTTATCAATAAATGAATGGCGCACTGAGACAGTTACCGTTGCAGCGGTAGTTTATCTGTCCACAATCAGAGGGTTAAAACTTGATTTATAGTCCCATATTTGATGTGAGTCACTGCTGCAGCATCAATCTGGCATTGATGCATTGGAAGCTAAAACGCATAAAATGAATGCTTCTCACTCATGGCAAAACATAGGCATATAATTAAAGATACACCAACGCACTTTTGTAATGCAATTCACGGGAATTAACATTCCTCAAGGCTAACTAACCAGACAGGAACACGAGGCAGGTTTTAACTGGAGGTTAACAAGTGACAAACAAGAACGCAGTAGTGGAGACAGACGCTGAAACACTAAATCACTGCAGGCCACAGGACAACACTTTGTTTACGTTTGTTTACTGTGATGATAAAATTACAAAGGGAACAAACCAGCAACAAGCAAAAAGAGACTGGCTTCAGTAAATCATAGTGAGAAAAATGTAGCCTGTGTTGCGTAAAGCCTTATTCTGTGTATGTGTTGTTAGAGCTTAATTCAGTGTAAGAGCAAACTATAAAACTTCTAGTATTTCATCTAAATGCCTGAACTAAAGCAGCTTTACAGCTAACAGTTTGTTTTTTGAAAATTAATTTAATTAAATAAAACTAAAGAATCCAAAGTGGAGAAAAGCATCTGAACCCTTAATACACCTGTTACACATACACTCAGATGCTGTATAAATACAAATTAAAATAACTGTAAAATGTGAAAATGTGAAAAATAAGAATATTATTTTCCAAGAAAAATGTGAAAGTAGAAGGGAAGGTGAAAGTTCACTCACCTGGCAGGCAGCAAATGTTTACAGTGGTGGACGTCACTGGTTAGGGGAGAGTGACTGAGTGAAGGAGTGTGTCTACTAAATGCTCTCCTTAGTCAATCCTCCCTTCTTCCCTCCTTCTCTCTATATCCCTGCCTCCCTCCCTCCCTCCCTCCTCCTCCTCCTCCTGTGCTCTCTTTGCCTCTAGGTATCTTTCTTTCATATATAAGTGTTGACTTAATTGAAATGCTAAAATCTGAAGCCTTGTTTATTAGACTGCAAACTAAATGCCTGTATAATGCTGTTGCTATAAAATCTAAATATATTGAAGTATTGGGTTCCCTCCACTGATGAAGGGTTTGTCATTTTAACGTATTCTGTGTTTCTTTATTTGCTGACATATGTATAAATGTGGATGAATACCTTTAAGCACTGCTGAATGAGCTCCAAGATGAAACATGGGGCCTCACTGATAAATGAATCTGTTTGAGAAATTAGTCTCCAGAAAGCACAGGAATCAGTTTCAGGATGGGATGTTTCATACCCTTAGCAGAAATGGACGTCATACATTGTGAAACCCATTTTCATTATTATATTCTGATTGGGCCTCTTTGCACCATTCTTCTGTGATAGGCTAAGGATGCTTTTCATAACTCAGAGCGTTGCACAACCTCAGGGTGAACGTGTGTAAATGTAACCAACAGGAAGGACTCTGCTTCCAGAATAGTTTCAAACATCAAGTTCCAAGTGTCTTAAAGAAGCTCTCTATACCACAGGGTAGATATTTCCTTGTTGAGATGGCCGCAAACCACCAACTCTAAAATAGGCCCAGCCTCACCGTAGCCATGGTGAACGTGACTGATGAGAATATGCCGTACCACCCTGCCCAGGAGTATGTTACTATAGTCTAACCTGTCATCATGGTATAGGAAGTTTGAAGATTTAACAAATCAGTGTAGATCCAGATGAAAAAAACGAGCACAAAGTCCTGTTTATGGCTTCCTAGCCGGGGTCACTCCAGTGCTCAGTCCTGATGCGACTTAGGTTTCCTCCAGATGTCTGCTGAGGCCTTTCTACATGTTTAAAACTTGTTTATTTATTTTCTGAGGCATTTCGGGAGGATTTTGGTACAAATTTAGCAACATGAACATTTTTGGGCTCGGGGTGTTGTGTTGATAAACTGTATTTGAGTTTTCAAGTAAACCTCAGTGGGCACCTTTTTGAGGCAGTGAGGTTTATTCATAGGCATGAAAAATTACAATCATGACAGGGGAGGTAGGAACTGAAACATCAACCACAACCGTAAAAACACTTACTCGTATGCAGAGTGAAAAAGAAAAAAAAAAAAAATCATATGTTACATATGTGCGTATTTGTGTGCACACGTGTAAACTTTGAAGCTGTAATTGAGATGTTTGTGTGTGCCAGTGATGGTGCGACTGGGTGGCAGGATGGTGGTCCCTCCCTGACTGCTAAACCCGAACAGGAAGACCAGACCCCCTATTAGCGGGGCCAAATCAGAGGGATCACCAAGGCCGACAGAGAGAGGAATAAGAGATGTAAAAAGCAAAAAAAAATAAAAAAGGGGGAGGGGGGGTTAAAAATATAACCATCATTGCTGTGTGTGACTTCCATTATAACTTGTGATGCGCTGTTGCATATCAGACTAATTAAACTAGACTAGACAGGTGTCCCTGCCTGTGTGCCAATACTTAACAGCTCAGTGGGTGTGTGTGCTAGTGAGAGTGCGTTACAAGGTCTCAGAGGGCTCACAAGGCTAAGAGTATCTGAGCGAGGCAGCTCTCTGTGGCAGAGCTCTCTCTCTCTCTCCTTCTCTCTCTGTCTCTCCACCTCTCTAATTACGCCGACCGAGCCGGCTCTGCCCTTACCCACAATCTGTGGAGGCATGAAATAAATACATGCTCTCCAACAATAAACAAGTGCCTTTTCAAACGACAGCACCTCCTCTCTTACTCACCCCCACTGCTGTCTCTCCAGGCTTTCATAGCGCATTAACTTTCAAACTGGCCATAGGAGCATGTAGGCACCTACTGTACAGAGGATGTGCTGTATAAGTTATAGGGCTGAGAGTGGGGCGAGCTGTACATAGCCGTTGACATCATTAGATCCAGCATCAAAGGCCATCTTTGCCTCAAGCACAAGGTGGGCAAAAGTTTGATTATGAGGTCAAAAATATTTAAAATAAGGTTAAAATTCAGAGTCTTAGCAGTGTATGCCTTAACACACCTACTTTTATCTGAAATATAATCGTAGAAAATCCTTAATATTCATACAGCCTAAAATCAATATTTACTCCACCAATTCAATAATGTACTTTAACATAGTTAGGGTAATTTAAAATTCAAAAACAAAGACAAAGTCAAGATATCCTGATTCTAATCCCTAATATGAGTCAAGCTCCAGGTTTTCTGTTACTGGGTTATTTTTTAAACTTTGGAAGGCATTATACAAGTTTTCACACTCGTTTTGATGAGTAAATTGAATTTTATGTGTAAATCAGTGCCCCTTTAATTTTGCAGCATGATATACTCTCACACTTTTATGGAGTACACGTGCATGTGCAGGTGGCATCAGGCTTCAGTTCCTCTCTATTCAAAATGTCATCTGTGGCATAATGGTTGCTTTTCCCACACGTTCTCAGTACTGTTAGTCATGTCTCCATCTCCCACTGGTCTGGGTGGTTACAGAGGCCCTAATGCATCTTTCATGCTGGCCACACAAGTGTCTTCTACTAGTGATGATAGGGTTACCATATTCCCTCCACACCAGTATGGTCTTCTTTGATTTACTTCTTCAGGGTTTTGAGCATCAGGATTTACTTAGAGCAACGTCTTGGTTCCTGGAGATTAAAAAAGATGATTGTATATGTGTTGTGTAGGCTGGTTAAGTTGGTGATATATTTCAAAGCAAACCTTTCATGTACAACCCTGCCACCTTGTGGCCAGAAGGAAAATCACATCCTAGTGCAGGAAAATTACAACATACCTCAGATATTTTTTCCCCCAGTTCCCCCATCACTCATGTAGAGAGACATATGTGGTATAGGTGGTTCAAATACATTTATTAAATATAAAAGACTCTTTTGCAGTGCAGTAACGATAATACAAAATATTTGGAAGATTAACAGGATTGCAGTGCTCTGGTTATCAATGTGTACATTATAATTAAAAATGCATGTTCCTGAAATAGTTTGAAACAAGGTAAAAAGACTAAAAACAGACCGAATGCATAAAATTTAACTCAGGGAATTATCAAATTTTGAAATATCTATAAGATGAAATCAAAATATACTATGGTATTAGTCTGCAAAATTATTTGTCGCTAACAGCACCAGTCAAATAAGGAACAAGCACTATTTCTTTTAAACAACAAGTGCAGTCTTGAGGTTTGGTGTCCAATTCCTTTTTCACAAGTTTTAACCATTAGACAGAAACTAATAAGAAAAGTAGAAGTGCAGCATGTGACAGTGTTTGCACCAAAGTATTCTCAATGTTTTTTTCCTCAAATCAGAAATAAACATAGGAGGGGACATTTATTTAACCTACCATAAAGTAAATAGACAAAAGAATTGAAAACTGTATTCAGCTCCCAAAGTATGTTGTAAAAAAGAAATGGAAAAAAAACGTAGGTATAAATAGGAAAATAAATACTCTGACTATGCTGTGCATAGTTTACTAGTGAACGTAGTGTGGACATAAGCCAGGTGTTGTAGCTGTGATTGTTATCTAGTGGATGATACAGACACATGCCAATGGATTTTAATGCACTGTCTAGTGTTGAAACTCATAAAACAAAGTTGCTTTCAGTGCAGAGCCGTTAGATGAAGCATTCTTTGGTTCACTGAAATACTGAAATGGAGACACCCCTAAGGTCAGAAACACTGCTTTTCAAGGTTCACAAGTTCTTTGTTGTGTTACACACGTTGCCATGAATGTGACTGAGCATGAATTCTTATAAGGCACTGTCTTGTAGTATGAACTAGTTTATAAATGACATCACCATGTCTGTCATAGAGATCAACAGACTACTTGTGCCAGAGGTGGCAGGTGTGTATGTCTGACACAGAAGTTACAATTAAGTAGCCACTTCTTCTTTTGCATAGACATAAAGCACTGTCATGTTTACTATGCAAATGTACCTGGAAAGCATATTTCATATTCTAATGCAGAGATAAAAACTTATGAAGGCTATTCATTTGCATTGGGTATGCAGATCAGTGCCGCAACTAGTTCTCCTATAGTCTGCGAGAACAAGAAGTCTGCACACCTGACATTTCATGCAATCCAATACAACAAAACCAAAAACTATCTCAACCTCAAAATTGCCATAGAGAAAAGGTAGTATTTATTCTACTGAATTGCATGAGATCGACAGGTGTTTCTGTTACTTCTTCCATACCCTACAAGTATGGTTATGAAGCACAATGAGCCCTCCAAGATAACAGAACGGGCATGCAATGTGCGGACTCACTCACAGCCAATAGGCACACCTAATCCACATTAATACATACAATTCTGCAATGTCGCAAGTCTATTTACCCATGTATGATCATCTTAACTAAGGCTACACAGCACAGTATAAAGGCACCTATCTGGGTCTCTGTAGCTTATTGGCTAAAGGAAAACCCTCATCTGCATAGGGGAGGTACTGAAATGTCAAGTACGTCTGTTGGTAAGTCTTTGGTCTGGTGGACAATATGCTGATACTGGCAGAGTGGGAATGGAGCCCCAGTATGATCCGCAGACTGGTGTGAGCAATTAAAAAGTGGTCTGAGAAGCTGTTAGAAATCAGCTTCACAAACTGCATGTTAAAGTATTGGTCAAGTGACTTTAAAAATGGGGAGAAACAATTCTTTGTGATAGAATTTCTAAAGAAGAAAGGTCACCAGGATCGTCACTGAGGAACCTTGTGTTACCTTTCATTACTGCTGTACATGACGGAGCCATTACTTCTTTTTTTTCCCCAATTGTGTACCAAGGCAGTTTCACTTCCTCGTTATGTTGTACGCCAATGAGGTTAGGTTGTATCCCTTAAAGCGAGAATAGGTCACCATGTGCCATGAAGCACTGCGGTTATGAGGGTTTTCATTCAAAACAAAGACTACACCAGGTGAATTTGTTGCTCACCTCTGGTTAATGTTGTACTACTGAGTAATATCGTTCAGTTTAGTCTTGGGTTGAAATAAAAAATTAAAAAAAACCTTCGTACTCCCAGTCTTTTGTGGCACATGTGTGACGATCCCGGCCTTAAAGCCTGAGTGTTGGCTAAGATCCATTGACTATTCTGGTCCATTCTGCTACAGTAAATATTTTTAGCCCTTAGAACCTGGTCCAGTAAGTGCCAGCTCCTTTTGGCTCAGTCTGTGCGTCCCAGTGTCCTGCATACTACTGGGGCAGAGAGTAGGCTAAGTTCAAGGCTGCCAGGGCTTCCTGTCCTTGCCTTTCTGATCAGGAATGTGTTTGTAGCGACATTTGTCCCCAAAGTGGCAACCGGTGGTTCTCCAGAAGTAACACTCGTCTCCGTTTACTGGGCCACGTCGTCGTGGTCTGGGCAGAGAGGAGGATGACATAAAGAGAGACAAAAGACACAGGGAAGGCATATTAAGTATAAAAGCAATAAAAACTGCAGTTCTATCGTATGATTTCGGTGATCTAGAGAGTTTCTAAAGTGAGGCTGAAGTGTGTCTTACCCAGCAGCTGCCCCTGCCTGCTGTGTGACAGGGAGACAGGTCTTAAGTGGAATAGGAAGGACCCTCTGAGTGCGGCGGTCAGGATAACGCACTACTAGACGTGTGTTCTCAATACAATAACCCTGAGAGAGGAAGCATATATCCAACTGTTAGTCTACAAAAATGTTCTTTAAAAACAGACACAAGATTGAGAGAGGAGAACAAGCAAGTACTCACATTAAGTTTCTCCATGGCACGGGCGGCCATGTTTGCATTCTTGAAGTTGACGAAGGCACAGAATCTCTCATGCAGCACACGGATACTCTCTATCTCACCATACCTACAACGCAAAGCAAACAACTTAACTGACAAGTAAATGTCTAAATATTGGACTTTCATGTTTCTGTTCAAAGAGGTACAAACGCAAATGCCTTTCCAGTTTTTTTTATTAGGAATAGGAACATTTAAGTCATATATAAGGTTAGTCTCAAATATTTTAATAGACTAGGGTCATACATTTTAAAAAGGTCCCATAGGTGTTTCTCAGTTAGCTCAGTCGTCACATTTCCCACCCACAGAGATGGACATGGGCTTCTGAAGGAAAGAGAAAGAATGTGATTGAAAGCAATAATATCACAGTTGAAATGAATCATTTGTTGGAACTTCACCAAAGATGTGACAACCTATAAAGACAAATGTTGTACACCCCTGACAATATATAAAAAGCTTTCAGGTTTATGAAGTGAAGCCAATGCGGAGGTGTCTTTAACTTGTATTCTATGTAATGGCCAGGAGGGGGCAGCTCCTGGAGTCTTGTGGGGAAAGGACCCTACTTCTCAGTTTCCCAATGAGATTATGGTCACAATCACTAGTTTCACGTCTTCTTCCATAGAGTATGATGTTCATTTAATAAATTATGGGCGTGGCTACCATGTGATTGACAAGTCATTCTTATTGAGTCTGTCCACCGCAACGCACAAAACTCAGATCAAACTGTCAAACAAGGCAGTGCAGATCAAGTATGAATCAAGATTATGTTACTGCATTGCATGTTTAATGCTCAAAATCTTTAAGAAACATCTGGAATACGAGAATGTTACGAAATTTGGCGATAGCCATAATGCCGAACTCAAGGCTTTAAAATAGTACTCCACACAGAAACTGGTGACGTCAAGATTTATACTTGGTGTAAACTAAAGTGAACAAAATCAATTTTAGCCTCAGGAGAGGCTACGTACCCCTCTGGCCCCTCACTTTGATTAAACAAACAAGTGGTAACCTACCCTGGTTGCATAACTGATGGATCTTGGCTCCCAGCTGCAGAACAAAAAGAGCTTGATCAATAGAATGTAAGAGGATAAAGGCTCATTTCATACAGTCTATTCTATACATTACTGCTTTCCAATCTTACAAAGAGAAAATGCAGGCCCATTTTTTTCAATATAAAATATGAAAATATGTACATGTGATCTTACCCCTGGCAACATCAGAACAAGATGCAAGAACAGCCTGCACAGTTGAAAATCTTTCCAGCAGCATGACGCTTTGCCCTTCCTCAAAACCAAGATCCTGAGGAAAGAATAGAGAAAAAAGAATAATCAGTCCTGAAAATCAAAAGGAATTAAGTTTTAAGTCAAGATGGCTAGCTTAATAAAATGTTGTTTCTAAAATGGAAAGTCCAGCGGAAGCTGTGGTCATTTTCATTCACAGCTACCAAGCTTTACACTGTGTTTGCAAGTGCACTGTATTTACCATTAACTGCAGCACTCTGCAGTTAAAAAGGTCAATGACAGCCTCCTCACAGTCTTTGTCCAGTTTGAGCACCTGCTCCATAGCCTTCTCTGCCTCACTGTACCGCTACAACACACACAAAGACCCACATAATGAGTTAGCAAAGACTAATTTTAACACAAAGGCTCTTCAGCAGATATTTCTTTGATTACATGCTGTATCCCATTACCACAGTATCCTGTACCCACCTTCATGCCCATGAGAGCACTGCCCTGGCGGAAGTGTCCTTTGGGCCAGTCTGGGGCCAGCTGAATGGAGCGTTCAGCATCTGCCAGGGCTTGAGGGTACTGCTCCAAGCAGTAATAGCAATAGGAACGATTCCCAAAAAACCTGCAGGATGCAATTTAAAAAAGGAAAAAGGAATATGTTACACATGTCTAAAATGTATGTAGTCCATTATAGTAAACTAGTAATGATGAGTACAGATGATGATGTACCTGTTATCCTTTGGATCACATTTAATGGCTTCTGTAAACATACTGACTGCTTGTGGGTACTGCCCCTCTTGCACCAGCTTTATCCCTTTTTCTGCTAGAAAGAAAACATGCTTGTAAATAATCCTCTGGTGAGCCAGTAGCCTGAGGACTGAACTGACAGTGCTGCATGCTGATACACTTGTACAAAGTTATGTGTAATCAATAATTTCCTCTATGGTTTGGTTTCTTTTTCAATGAATAAACTAATAAAAAGGGTAATTATGTACTCTGATGTGCAGAAATCATTCCTCACCTGTCAGTGATGCGCTTTTCTTAGTCATGGTGTCAGTTCCGTTTGTCTGTAAGAAAAAAAATCAGTTCATATTCACAGCTGTGAAAATGTACTTGATAATGAAGTTCAAGACATTCAACAGAAAATGCTCTGATTTACATAAAATATTAATATAAATAAATTTATCGCTAACAAAACCATAAATATGTACATATGTCATTTTTGTAACTACAGAAACAAAAACAGCTTTTAGAAGTATCTAGCAGCTGGTTGAGTGTTTTAGTTTATGCATCTACTTTTTGTCTACTTTCATCAACAAATGCTATTATATGGTAGTAAGACATATGTATTTCAACAACTAAAGCAATGCACACAAATGACCACGGTAAGCTTCATCCTACAGCTGAGTTATAGGACACACACACACACACACACACACACACACACACACACACAGACACACACAGACACACACAGACACACACACACACTTGAACAACTGTTGTAAAGGAATTCATGGTCCAGAGTCCACAACTCCACAGATCAGACTTTGGAACTGCTGCAGTAACAGCAGTAATGACAGCGGGAGCTCTTGCTATACCTACTCATCTTACATTATCTATGAGCGTTCATTCACCTCTCTCCTGGCTTCATTCTCCTTGTTTTCTTTGGACTTGCGACTTGTTCCTTTGGGTTTGATATGGCTAGCAGCATTAGCAAAGAAGGCACTGCTCACATCCCACTCTGGCTCCTGCGGGACACAAAGACACTGGTATTCAATCATGTGTCATTCAGTTCTACAAGCATGCAGGTTTTTATTTCAAGTACTACACCGAGTGACTCATTGACTTAATCTAGAGATGGTGATGATGATTAATGGTGATATTTTCTATTGAAGTTGTGGCTACAGTTTCACACATGCATAATACTCTAGTATAGTTCCCCTACCTCTTCAGTGGATCTAGCTGGGTTCTTCTGATGTCCTTTGATTCCTGAAGGAGCCATGACTGGAGTGGGGGTGCGATTGTGTGAAGCAGCTGCATCCTCCTCCTCCTCCTCCTCCTCCTCTTTTTGCACCCTCACTTTCTCCTCTTCAGCATCAACTTCTGCTTCTGACTCGCTGTCATCCAGTTCAGACTCTGCACCTCCATCCTCGTCTTCATCATCCTAATGTGCAGGACCACACAGTTATTCACAGTAAAAGGCAAATGTAGAGTGCATTCCTAGAGGGAATAATGTGATCATTACCCGTTCAGCACTCTCATTTTGCTTAACCTGCTCCTGCTTCTTACGTTTTCGACGGCGCTGAAACAGATTCAGTACTTGGCACATCAGAAAATGCATGACTTTACCCATCATTCATAGTGTAATAGACTGTATTATATTATATGTATTTAAAGTGCATCAAGAAGGATCTTTAAGGGTTGGCATGCTCACCTTTCTCTTGGCTTTACGTCGCTCTGCCCTCTGTCTGACCTTCTCCTCCTCACTCAAATCCTCTTCTCCATTTAATGCATCCTAAAGACACACACACACGCACGCACACACACACACACACACACACACACACACACACACACACACACACACACACACACACAGAGTTGAACATTACACATTGTACCTTCACCTCTTTGCTATACTGACAATGCCCTGTCGGTCTGACACCATTTGTTTACCTGTGACAAAGTGGCATCATTGCTTGGGTCAGAGTTTGCGGCACCACAGTCCATCTGCTCCTCCTGCTGCTGGACAGCGGGGCCTGTTGGGAAACACACAGCACATCAGCTCTAGGACCTGGTTACACAGTGTTCTGCTGTCTTCATTCTTGTCAATGTTTGGGAACCAGATATGTTGTCAGTTGAAACAGCTCTAAATGAAAAAATGTTTCCTTTCTCCTGCAATTTCATTGAAAAACAAACCTAAAAACATTGGAACATATGTCAAATCACATGTGACATCAGGCAATTTATCCCACAACAATCCCATCAAAGCTTGTGAATTATTTACGCACATTATGTTCTATCAGATGATTAATGTATAGCTATGTAAGGATATTTCACATGCCATCAGCTATACAGACTGAACATAAAGGAGTAAGCATCCATTAGAAAGAAAGGTGAAGCCACAAAATGATTTCCGGTTTGGCTCTATAATAACAATGATACCGAAAGAAACATTGGTTGACTGGATTGCAATTAAAAACACTACTCCTTCCTCATTCACAATCAAGTCTTACTGCTATGAACTTACATAACAAAGAAATCTCAATAACATTGGGTGGGGACAGGAAAGATGAGCATTGTTGCTTTAAAAAAGCCAAAATGTACACACAACAGAAAACTGATCAGTGAGATTGATTCAAGTTGATGCTCTACGGTTTTATGAGAAATGTGTTTACTCAAACTTTTTCACTGCCATGCGCCCAACATGGAACACACAGCTGCCTCGGGCACTGCTGTTTGAGAACACAGAATCTTTTCTCAGAGACTAGGGTGAAAAATCAAGACATAGAAAAAACAATTACTGCCCTGAATGCGGCGTGTGTGTGTGTGTGTGTGTGTGTGTGTGTGTGTGTGTGTGTGTGTGTACACGGGGGGAACAGATCGGATCAAAACCGAACCCTGTCACTGATCTGGGCAGCAGACAAATGGAAAGACAAAAGGAAGCAAAACACTGGACCATGCAGGAATCTGTGCGGTGTCAGATTTCCATTTGTTCAGCAAAGAACTCCAGAGTAGTGACAAATTCATACTTGGTCTGTGACTCATGCTGTGACGTGTGAGGAATAGATGCAAGGGTAACTTGCTTTGCTCCATTAGTGCAAGCTCTATGTGTTGCATACTACATTGCTTGTGGAAAAAAAAGGAAGACAAGCTGCAACTGGGCTTCCTCATTCTCTCTGTATGTATATGATACAGGGCACTGGGGCTCTGGGCAACATTTTGGGCAGTGCTGAGAAATATATGATTAGAAAGTGGAACATAAGTCACTATCTAATTTAGTTGCCTAAACCATCCATCCGTGTACATTCAAGCAGGGTTTTTTTTTTTTTTGCCTCATTGGCTTTGGTACAGTAAAGACTCTACCATTATACCATCGCAAGGAGTTAAGAAAGTGGAAGGAATTTCAGCTGTCCGTGTCTGGTTCACTACTCAAATGTCAAGAAACAACCACTGCTAAAGCACAGCTCCATCCCATTAGCTGAATCAGGCTTTTTGTTAAATCTTAACTATAATGGAATGCCCTCCCAACAAATAAATGATCCAAGATCCACAGACAAAAGCAACAAAAGACTCTCTGTTTCTCCCCTTCAAGGAGACTGCCTAAATTTGTGTCGAGTTGAAAGGTGAGCTCTTTCCACAGGAATGCAAAATAACTGTATCACCGTGGACCGGAGCTTTAACCAAGAAATCTGCTCTTTTTCTTTACTGATCTTCAACATGGCATTACAGAGAGAAATTAATATTATTATTAATATTATTATAAATAATAATAAATCTACTTATTAAGCACCAGTGGCATTAGGTGATTTTGGAACATGACTAGGACAGGAGTGTGTACACAGCAATAAAAATAGTAACACACTCACAGTGAATCATCAGTCTTTCTACCACAAAGTGCGTGGTTGCAAGGTACAACAGTGGATGGAGTCTTTACAACGTTAACACTGGATCATTTGTGACATGACAGCTCTTTATCAAAGAACCACAAAACAGAAGAAACGTGCAGCTCTGAGTTACCCCTGCCACATTAATGTGTCTCAAAGTGTGACATATATAAAAAAAAAAACACACAAAAGTAAAACAGGAGATCATAGCATTATTATTATTATTATCTACTTTCTGATCAGAGGCGATTAAATGAGGCATTCCTGGATGCTCCTCATCCGCCTCTGATGAAGGTTTTTAACAGTAAGTAAACCGACCTGCTCTACAAGCACACCAAACACACATGGAGAAGCGAGAAGAGGAACAAAGTGAGGACACATGACATGTTTTAAACACACATAACACAAATGCCTTGCTCGTGTAACTCTGAATGTACTCCACTACACGGCTTTTTGCCACCCTATTTGAAGGCATTGTTACCATACCAACATGCAGCAGGGAATGAACTCCTAATCCGTGTTAGTTTGAGCCTTTTTAATCTACATCTCCTGCTATATATATATATATAAAAACAGGCCAACCAAGGCGTGTAAAGTTCTGTTATTGCGGGCTTTTGCGGATATAAAATAAAAGTCTGTTAAAGTGTGTTTTAGATTATAACAACCGTCTTGGAACCGAAAGCGCAAAAAAAAAAAATAACTTGGAAGTGGTGCAAGCAAGGGTGGAACTGGTAAAGAGGGGAACTTTCATTGTTCAGCCAAGAACTCAGCAACAAGTTCACGACGAAGACAACTTCAAAATACAACCACAAAACTCAGCGTATCAAACAAACGAACAAAACACGTGTTAAGATATAATCCACGATTTCGCTGTCACACGCGTTTCATTGTCGTTTACGGGATCCGTTGAACTTGTGGTTGGAGTTTTTTTTTTTTTTTTTTTTTTTAGAAAGTTTTGAAAACCGGGAGTGTTTCTTACCGCTCCCGAGTCCCAACAGCCTGCATATATCTCTGGTGAATTTCATGAGCGCAACCATCCAGCATTATCGTCTCGGATATCCCACAAAAAATATTTAATCAAAGGTTTACGTCAGTGTGAACACGTTTGTAACATTGGGACAATCGATATCGAATCTGCGGGAATCTTTGGTGGTTAGTCCACTTCCTGAGCGTCAAACGCCGACGCAGGGTCCTCCCTGAGCGGCGTCTTAAAGGCACAGGACACCGTTATGATCGATTATTGAACGGTTTCAGATCTTATCACATCCAGGGAGTACCAATAAAAGAATGACGTCTGTGTATGCCTCTTATGGCTGGTAATTAATTATTTAACACGATTAATTCCTTTTGTATAGATTGTTATTGTCATATTATATGTGTAATGTACTAGCCTATACTTAATGCACCCTTTATGATTCTGGATATTTATTACAATTAATACAATACACAAGAATATAGGAATTCCACACACACTTGAACATAACAAGGTACACTTTCTACAATTTGTGCATCAAGATCCACTAACTAGATTTCTCATGGAGCTTTCAGTCAAACCTAAATTTAAAAATTATTATAAACAAGGACCGCAACGAAGCTTGTAAATAATTCTGAGTCTTTTTGGTTTGTAAGGTATTTTCTGTCATGCTAGATAGATGCACAATTATGTTAGTCCTTGAACTAGCCTTCTCAATAAAATAGATATTAAAGTAATGGTTGTCTATCAAAGTACTGATCTTGTAGAAAACCCATTAAGCTACAGTCATTTAACATTAACTTCATTCTAACAGTAATTTACACTGAATAGTCAAAAGTGTCCTGTGGATAAATAGGTCACAGTAACAAAAGCACAGGTGTAAATAATAAAATGAATGACTGGATTCCATGTAGCTGCTTTAGTTTCAGGGTCCTGATACTAACTGGGACACTTGAATCAAACACAGCCTGTCCCTAAAATGTCACATTAATCCCACACCAACAATCAGTTTGAACAAAATAAAACACAACTGCTTAAATTAATTTGAATTTATTCATACAAAGTTGTAAAAAGTACCACTCTGCATCATTTCCATCATTACAGTTTGAGTTCATTTCTGACTCCATCAGACACGCCCACAATGTTTCAGAGCAGAGAACAATGTTCATTTTTTTTCCAATTTTTGAAACTTAATTTCATATACTTGGTGATTTTCAGTTATTATAAAATGCATTTGTTTACAATGTTAATGACGTGTTGTGACTTAAAAAGTGGGGTCACAACAGGGTTTTTTGTGGCAGTATTGCACTAGTGTTTAAAATCAGGAGTGATATCCAGTTTTTCCACATGGAGGGCCTATTAAGAGCCCGGAAGACTCTTTTATTGAGTCTCTCCTTGTCTCTTATATCACATGTAAATTGTATTATTAAAATTAACCCCCCTTTTTTTCCTTTTCAGATCTTTTCAGAACAAACAGGATGACTACATAATATAGAGACACAGCTGATCAGACAGATAGTTGGAGTGAGTTTAGTGTTATGGCTCAAATCAGTTAAATTCACATAAATCAAACAAAAGAGACTGATGAGCGGACCACACACTGTTGCTGTCAGATGTTTCAGTGACGTTTCAGGTCAGCCATGACAGTGAGCGCTGCGTTCCAGCCGGGAGAACCCATCACACCACCACCTAAAAAAACCAAACATTAAAGATTACAAACGAAAGATAGTGTGTCAGTTTGTTCTTATCATCAGCAGCAAGGATAATAATTCATTCAAAGGTCCAAAGGTTTATTGACTGTGCTCTTCTAAAATTAGACAATGTAACATAATGATTCTACTTGTACTACACTATACACAACAAGCAGCCACGCCACATTTGCAATTTAATATCCTGCTGAGCAATTCAATATTCAGCTGAAAGTTTATCAGTAAAAGCAAACCTGGATGACAGCCACTGCCACACAGATATAGCCCTTTAATTGGTGAGCGGTAGTCTGAGAGCGAGGGCAAAGGTCGTGCCAGGTAGAGCTGGTCCAGTGACATTGATCCATGGAAGATATTCTGTAAAAAACGAGAACAAAATGTTTACTTTACTTTTTGTTTCTTGATAGAATTGTGTTATTATGTGAATAGTTGCCTGCCTGTTTAAGGACTCCCTTTTAAAGTCCTATGCAGAAACAGAAGCAGATATCCTTCAGTGAGTTGGTGTCACTTTACACTGTTAATATAAACTTTGATTCTGACTCATGGGTTGTGGTAAAACTGTCTGTAACCATTAACTGCTTGTATAACAAGTCTGTCCCTGTGAAACAACAGAACACTGAAGCAGTCACAAATTACTTCCTCGTTCAGTGAAAAGTTGATTGTTTCAAGCAAATCAGATGTGAATCAATATTCAAATTGCTGCTCAGCTCTACAGTGTCTACAGCGTGCAGTATATACCCCTCCAGTGAGCCCAAAGATCCTCTCCAAGTCAGGCGGTGTCAGGATGTCTCTGCCCACCACCGACTTTTTGAAACCAGGGGCGTATTGTTCCACCCAGGCAAATGCTAAAAAGACACACAAATGCATGCTTTATCACTGAAAAGGGTTTATCAGTATACATTTAAAGGGTGGCATTCCTTAAAACTCTGTATTGGTCCCAAATTCACTTGTTACTGTAGCTCAAGATACAGCACAACACAATAGATAATAAAATAATTAAATAAAAATAAAATACAAGATATAATAGCAATTAACTATTTTACTTATTTTTCGTCATCTACGTAAAGTTACAATGTTGGATGTTTATATTAAATGTGGCCAAAGTTTCAAATAATGAGGTAAATGCGTGCAAAAGTTGGCCAATCAGAAGAAAGTTGGAGGGGGGCCTTAAAAGACAGGAGACATGAACTGACGGGCTACACATAAGGATGTTTTTGAACGGTGAATCACGTAAAGATACACTAGTGGAGTTCCAGAATAGATATATCATATATTAAAAAGGACAAATTAAAATTAAACATTTTCCATAATAACTAAGCAATGCTAGAAGTTGTGTGCCTGAGGATAAATGTACCAGCAATGCATACTTGGAACTATAAGAAGTCCTGGATCAGTGTGTGTTACCATTGTCTGCAAAGGCCTCTCTGTCCTGGTCAGTCCACTCCCTGCCTTCTATGTGGTAGGGGGTGAATTGAGTGAACAGTGACACCACGTGACAGCCAGGGGGAGCAAGAGTAGGATCCAACACAGATGGGATGGTCATCTCCAGCATGGGTCTACAGGAATGCACAGGCATGATGAGACAAAATGGTGGGGAGTGAAGGGTGGCTGAGTTGTTGATGAAAACTGGAGATAAAATTATGTAAGATTAACCTTTTTTTTTAAGGAGACATTTTAGGGGGTTAAGGAAACAACCGTTGAATATTCATAATTGTATACAAGTGATTTCTGATATTTATTTTGGTTAAAGGTTACATGGTCAGTGGTCAAAACTTTAACTGATATTCAGAAGTCTATTCATTCAAGGCCAAGTGTTATCTACAAGATGAGAATATGTGGACATCCTAACCCAGTCTGTTTGAGCATCATATTGACATAACTGTGTGGAGAAAACATCTAATAAAAGGCACATTGTATTATAGTTTTAAGACATATACATTATAATAATACACATACAAGTGGACTAAAGGTGTATATGAGGAACCACCATATACTAAATACTACTTTTTGAAGCTGCAAGGTTGATCTTAATCTGGCATACTGCCCACTTTGTCCTGTATTCTCTACAGTGAGGAATGCACTGTATGACTAGCTCTTATATACTTTTAATATTAGTTGCTTAGTGCAAATTGTTGAATCTTACTGTATACGAGGAATTAAGAGAAAGCGTTATGTGTGTCTCAGGAGTGTAAAAATGTATGTACTTTGCTGAGGGACGTCCATTCATGGCCTCTTTGTATGCTGTCTCCAGTACCTCCACGCTTTCACAGTTGAGGTGAATGGAGCACTGGTGGTGGGGTCCAGGTTTATCGTCTGGTGTCGGAGATGCTAGGAAGTTTGGTAGCTTGTCCACAGCCACTGTAAAAACAAAGAAAATGACATGGAATCCGCGTCTGCTCTAAGATTGTGTTTCGTTTAAATGTCAGTTTCAGTTTTCTAAATATTTCAATTAGGGCAACTCTCAGTGCATGCACCATAAAGCTAAGGCTAAAATAAATTCTACAAAACAGAGTAAGTTAAATCTAAGAAGCGATGCACTGTAAAGGATCATTTGGGAGGAACCACTCCTGAGTAATAAAGCCCTACAGCTCAGACTGACTGTAATTAACAAGCAGGAGCTACAAGCTGCACCGCACAGGAAGCTGAATAACTCTAAACATCTTTTTAGTTGCATTACATAGTTTTATAATACCCATAACATTGAAACTTGTGTTTACAGTTCCAACAACTTAGGCAGTGACATAATCTTACACTGTAATAATAATAATAGTGGAGGAGTAAGAGCTGATCCCTCCTGATACACTACATCTGTTTATGTCTTATTGCCAAGTCTCCGTTGTCATCTTCCCACTTCCTTGCAGCGTGTACAAAGTGTGTAAGTAATTGTTTAGTCATAATTAGACCGTAAGTATGACTACAGAGTGCAGGGTTTCTAAACATCTTAAATATATGGCTGGAGAAACAAGGCTCACACTGAAATAAGTCCTGTGACTAGTCATATGTCAGGCTTACTGTGACACTACTACAAATTCTTATTCTCTAAGGCAGCTTTTTAGGAGAAAAGGGTCTTCACTGTATCTGAGCAGTGGAAAGATTTTTTTTTTTTTGTTCTTAATACAATTAATAAAAGCATCCCTTATCTTCAGCCGTCAAAACACAACTAAAAAACAGCTTATGAAAGATTATGATTTGTGGTTCAGAAACACAACAGATTTACCATTGATCTTGGTAACAGGTGAGGTGTAGTCAATCTGATCTACGGCCTTGATGAACTCTGGAGAAAGGGCAGCCTTTAATGAAAACAGGAAGCCAGAATAAATCATATTGTATAGTGCCATGGTTACATGTGGTGTCCATTTTTTCTTAATTACCTGTGGCGTGAGTTTCTTGAAGGTAACATATGGGGTGGCGTTTGATAAAACAACTTTACTGTGGATCTCTGTGCCATCCTTTAGCACCACTCCCTTGGCAGCACCATCTGAACCAACCAAGACCTGTTCCACATCCTGCCAAGGATAAACATTGTGTTTGCAAAAGAGCAAATCACAGATCCTAGAATAGAGTTGCTATTAAACTTCCAAATAAACTGCATCAACATAATGAATCAAAACCACATTACCTTCTCAGTGAAAATGTCTACACCATAGGATCGTGCAGAACTAGCAATAGCCTTAGACACGCCTCCCATGCCTCCCTCCACATAACCCCATGCTCCCTTCTCCTTATCCAACTCTCCCATCACATGATGCAAGAGCACATACCTTCAAGGGAAGACCATAAAATCAGTGTTTTTGAGAGGTCAGTGTATCATTCATTGCAATTAAACCTAAAATATGTCTCTCACCCACTACCAGGGTTACTTGGACTGGTCATGGCTCCTATCACAGCATCAGTAGCCAGTGTTGCTCTCAGTGGCTCCGACTCAAACCACCGATTGAGGATCTACGACATAAAACACAAGTTGGTCACGATGCGGTCAACAGAAAACAGCAATTAATGCCAAACTTTGTGTTAGCTATGACAAACCTTCATTATTGGCGCAGTAATGATCTCGTAAAAGTCTGGAATGTTTTTGCCCAGTTTCAGACCTTGAAATTCAAAAACAACTCATCACTAACTAAGTTATTGCTGAAAACAAAATGGGAACATGGTGAATTATTTGTTATTCTGACATCAAAAATATAAAAGTTTATTTCTCAAGCATGCAGCCATCTACCAAACGCACCACATTTGACAATAGGCATCAGGGTTTTAGCTGCAGCCAGCCTCTTCCTCAGTGATCCAGCTGTAACACCTGGAATGTCTACAGGAGGAGCATCCAGGAGAGGGTGGATAGCTCCTGCTAGCTTATCAAGGTGTGCAACAAAATCTGGAAAAGCCTGGGTACATGTTAAAAAATGGGTGAGTGTGAGGATGAATGTAGAGATGTGGGACTGTATAAGAAAGAGGACAGAATAACTTAACATAGGTGGAGAAATAAATGTCTAAAGAGTTGGTGAAAGGTTTTTTTCATTTCATACTTCTTGTACTGGAGTGTAAATGCACAATTTACTATGTCTATCATAATGCTAAAATCACCTTAGCATCCTTCTGTGAGAACTTGCCAATCTCCTTCAGGTTCATGGCCAGATCTGAGCCCAGGGTGAGAGACCTCGGTGGGGCACCTTTTACTCCCTCCTCCAACATGGGGGTGAAAGCATGGGGGTCCCTCATGTACACCTTCAGCCCATGTTTCTGAAGAAATATGCACATTAAAAATGACGAGCAGCAAACAGGAGCAGTCGCCTTAAGGCTCCTCAAAATGAGCTGAATTCATTTATTTTACCACTTTGCTATGTTTACCTTGAGCTCCAAGTCTGCATATATGTGGGGTCTTAATAAACTGAGCAGGTAGGAACACCTGGAGAAGTGGAAACCTGCACACAGTATTGTATTGAGTATTGTTACTCCAACAGGGACAAAATGTGAAGTACATTTCTTTCTGATCATGTTAATTTAGCATTCATTCATTACCCAGATTGCATAAAAAAGGTATCAAACCATTCAGATTTTTCTGTGATTTTTCTGCAGTTTTAGTAGTTTTCTATTTGTTAGTTGGACAATGATTCCAGTTTACCAGTGTCCGTACACTGGGATACTGTAAGGGGTAAGCAAGATTCTGTGTTTGTTTTTTTGCAGTGAAACTTTGGTGGACCAATCCTTTATGACCTGGGTTGAGCCAGGATTGTATGCCCAGCCAGAGGCCACCCTACCTGGAAAGATTTCCTCTGAAACAGCTGCTCCTCCCAGCACATGTCTGCGTTCCAGCACTGCTGTCTTAAGTCCTCCCTTCTGAAGATAGGCAGCCTACACACACCAAACACACAACACCTTACATCACCTTTACCCTGTTGAGTGTCACAATACAAAATTGCAACAGTAAGTCAAGCAAATAGCAGTGCCAAAGTGCAAAAACACCCATAAAATGCATAGTCCAATGATGTTAAAGTGCTATCAGTTCATGAGTTCAATATGTTGCATGGAAGGCCCTGCTGAACCATATAATGTATACACTGTATGTAGGTGTTGGGAAACAAATGCATGAACTTACTGCCACCAGTCCATTGTGTCCTGCAATGACAAATAAAACGTGTCAGACAGTTGCCCTAAAAATGTAAATTCCTCATAGAAATGACTTTAAATTCTAGAATTCAGCTTCACTGTAACAAGTCCAGCTGCTCTCTAGTATTTTTTACAGCCAAAGTCTGAGACCAAAGATGAAACGTGTAAACTCTCTCCTGCAAAACAATTGCACACACAGCAAAGAGAAAGAGTCGAATCATTTTTCCCAGGAGTCTTAAAAAAGTGAGTGAGTGCAAGAAACTCTCACTAATGACTTATGCAAAACCTTTTTTTTTTTTTAAACATTGTTTCAATGTTGCAAAGTATGGCGCGGGTTGTTACACTGTAGCACAGCTCCTGTGTTTTTCTGCACTTTTTTCCCCCCTACACTCCACAGATCTCACCTCCACCGATGACCAGTGCGTCATACTGGGATTTTAACGCGGAGTGACTGGATGTGGATCTAGTCACTGTCCCCAGAATAGTCACAGCCCTCCGTCCTCGATCAGTCCACGTCGCTGCAGCCATGGTAGGAGTTTGAGGCAGGAGCCCACATCAGTCCCTCCCCTCTCCCCCCTAGAACCGCCTAAGGTAGATCCGGGCTTCCTGTGAGATCAACGACTGTAATAACACCATTATAATACAATTCTGCTATTATTGTAGTGCCAATGTTTTTCTGCTTTTTGTTAGTAGAGACAACTTGTACAACAAAAGTTTTTTTTTATTGTCTGTATTTATTGTCTCTTCTTTTATTGTAATTTTCCTTGGGGAATGAAAAAGTTACAAACCTACTCATGCATTTAATGGTAGGAAAAAATACCTAACTATCAATCTTTTTATCTATCTATCTATCTATCTATCTATCTATCTATCTATCTATCTATCTATCTATCTATCTATCTATCTATCTATCTATCAGCCTGTCGTTTTCCAGATGTCCACTGGGTGGCGCAGTTGTTCCATTTAATCCAGTTGCAATCACTGGCATGGTTTTCCACAAACTGTTCATAACAACTTCAAATTTGCATCATAAACAGTGAGGTCAGTCAAAACCTATTTACCCATTTCACACCATATTTGCACAGTGTGTTTGTGTGTGTGTGTGTGTGTGTGTGTGTGTGTGTGTGTGTGTGTGTGTGTGTGTGTGTGTGTGTGTGTGTGTAGTGTCAAATGTTTCGATATTGCAGCTCAGAGATGGCCCAACCAGGTTCTGAATAAATTCCTTCACTGACTGTATTAATTGAAGAGTTTCTGACACAGACTCTGTCCAGATCTTGAGATGTCACAATACAATGTGACCAAAATGTTTGTGTTTGAAATACATTAACCCCACAGAGCACATATGGCTTGTTTGCAAGGGCGTTTTCACACAAAATCTATGAAAAAATATAATAATCAGAAAAAGGCAGTTCAAGACATCCTTTCTTAGTTGGTTTGGGAGTTTGTGCTCAAGTAATTTCACAGTAAGGGCCCACCTTAAGAGTTTTAAGATGAGCTCTTAAAACAGAATTGTTTCTTAGTGTTGCTGTTGAAGATGTCATATTGGCCTAGTGGTTCACTTACCATGCATTAATAAGATAAGAGGCCATAGATCATATGTGGTCCAGAGAGTAGACAGAGCCAGAGAAGGAGATTGTCTATTGGGATCTAAGGAAGGAAGGGTGTTAATTGGTATAAAAACAACCAAACACAGCAGAAAATAACCAAGTTATCTTCTCATCTTGTCTATATAATGCGGATTTTTGACTATGTTTTGCTTAGACAGTGTAAAATAATTCCTGAGGCTTATATAGATTGTGCACTCTCTGGGCAGAGGGAATGAAATGAGGTGCTATGGCGATCTAGAGTTTCCCGTTAGACCTAACATGCCTCTCCCTCGGTGTATTAGAGTAGCATTAGTTTCAGGGAAGAGAAATGATCCTTATTTGCTGTCTGCTTGGTTTTCCTTTAAGGAACGTCTGCGGACAACAGCCAATCAACCATAACTAGATCAGAAGTAGGAGATTTTGTTCTTGTAAGCAGAAATTAACACTTCATTCCCCTTTGTCGGCAGAAATTCAACACTGCGGCCCTTGAAGGCTCTCCCTGGCAATAAAGGATAAAATTCAATTATGTTATAACAGTGCCGCACCAAAACACGATTACCTCATTTTCTGGGGGGAAAAATGTGCTCCTTTTCCTCTAAGGCAGAGAGGTTCACTGGTGTAGATGATAGGCCTGGAGACGTTCCTGACAGCTCCAAGCATTCATAATTATGAAATATAAGCTACTGTCTTAGCAGATCAAAAAAGGTGTCACAGTAAAGAAAAGAAAAAACATTTGTGAGCGTCTTAAGAGGTTTACTTTACTGTCTACTGAATGTTTACCCATGATGAGTAAGTACGTTGTTATTCAAAGGGGGGTGCCATTTGGCTGAAGGGGAAAACAAAATGAATAGAGAGACACGTACAGACTTTGAAGCATTGAATTGACTACGTCGTGTTTCCTGAATAAAAAGTTCAGTGACAATAAATAAAAATGATTTGAGGTGTAATGTGTTATACTTGGGTAGCCTGTGTGGATTAATGAATGAACAGATGAATGTATTTGAATGCCTGCAGCACAAGAAAGAGCCTAAACACTGTGATGTGGAGAAATGTCTGTTTAAGGAGTGTGACGAGCAATCTACTACTGAAACAACTTCTAGAAATCTATTACTTGATCAACATAAAAAACATGTTTTCTGGATACCGTGAAGGGAAATTTTAGAACATATTCTTTCTTCTTCTTTTTTAGATTCATAGATTAAACTCTTCAAAGTATAATTGATAGTGCAAACATGATGTGCTGTTTGCTTATTAACATAAAATGTTTTTATTTAAATCTAATTTATTTTAACCTGCTGTGGCACGTTACTAGTTATAATTTAGAATTCTGGTTTAAAATGTAAATTAAGCCTTTTTTGCACAAGTTTACCAGGTTAATGGGATCTACAAGACTACTTTTTAAATAAAATGCACACAGAATACTACAGCACATTTTAACTTATGTGGTGCCAAGATAAGCAAATAAGCTAACCACTTAACGAGACCATTGGTATGAAAATCAGTGGGCTGAATCACAGGTGGACATTTACATAAACTTTTATGTTTATGTAACACAGTTGTTGTTATTCAACATTGAACATACATAACCCTGATTTCACCCATGGCTGACTACACATGAATTAGTTGATGAATTCATTTATTAGCTTAGATCTGTAGCTCAACAAATTAAACTGAACACATACAGTGTGCATACAAGATCAATATGCTCTTAAGCAGTGTCTTTTACAGATGCACTTAACGTGTTGCGATACTCCATGTCAAGTGCCACATGACGGGGTTTGCAGTCTTCACCAAAATGCAGCAATGAGTGACACGTCCATCGACCAATGACGCGAGAAGACTTGGCTCCAGCGACCAATCAGAGATGACTTCCTCATCGCGGCCCTGTGGTGGGGGCTCGGTGTGTGTTATTTGTCCGCCACGGCCTCCCGTGCTTGGCTCTGCCTGGGAAGCATAGAGGCGGGGAGGGAATGGTGTAGCAGGCAAGAGGCTGTGAAACTACCCCAGGGGAATGTGAAAACTTAAAAAGACTGAAGTCACCTACAAGACGCCGTGTCTGCGTGCCCCAACACTACCTGGTTTCTCATGGAAGCAGATGGATTTGTAAGGAGGCGTCGGATGACAGCGGAGACTACAGGCAATGATCCCGGAGTTGCTGGTGCATCTGCCGGGGCAGAAGTTCGATGGCTGGGGGGCAGATTCTGGGGAGTTTCGGAAACTATCGTGGGGAGCCTGTCGCCCCGGATCGGAGGGGAAACGGAGCTACAGACTGTTGAATGTATCCGCAGTGCACAGGATGCACAAACAGAGGACTCTGAACCAGACTATGAGGGTTTGCCACAGGGAGCCTCCACTAGCACCCACATGTTGGCCGGAGCCGTGGCCGGGATCATGGAGCACTGCCTCATGTTCCCCATCGACTGTGTCAAGGTAGCATAGCTCAGTGGCTAACCAGCCGAACACCACCACTTTTATTACTGAATGTTTGGTGCCTCCGCTTATGTTCCGCGGATATTATTATTATTATTATTATTATTATTAGTGTGGTCAACGTGTTTGTTAGCATAGCCTATTAGCTCCACACGCTGCAGGGCTGACTGCTGTGAGGACAAGGTCAGTCGGCTCGGTTAGCTGCAGCCCCCCCCCTACGAGCTAACTCGTTAGCATGCTAGTATAGTATAGTAGTTAAGCGCGACTAACGTTAGCTGCTGGCTAGTTGTTATGACAACCTTTAGGCAGGGTCACACACACACACACACACACACACACACACACTGGGGTCCATTTGGTCGTTTTGCGCAAAACTGTTCAAACATCATCAAATCCGCTGTGCTGTCAGAGTCTCAGGGGGGTGTAATGTTACGTAATGTGTACGGTTTATGTGTGTTAAGTACATCGGAAACACGTTATTAGTGAAGTCATTCAGTAAGTAGCGTTAGCTAACGAGAGGAAGCTGTTATTAAATCCTGCAACAACAGTTGAGTGAGAGCAAAGCTGTTCTCTGTTTACATAAACAACGGGTTGGTTGGTTGGTGTTGTTTCTAGGAGCTTACGTCCTGTGTGCCACTTTTATTATGAGGCACATATAAATTCACTACACTGCAGTTTTGAGGCAATTTGTCCCTTCCGGGCCGCAGTAGGGCGTCTGTTACTCTTGCAGCACACGGTTTCATACAGTCTGACAGCAGGCCTGCTGCTTCAGCTTCACACACCGTTAAGTAACTGTTTGCAAAGGTCTTTTGATCACATGTTGAGTCATGTAACTTCACAGGGCCAGCTCTTATCATGTGGTCTTCTTTTGTTACATACCAGTTAAGTTTTATTGTGTGTGTTTTTTTTTTTAACTTAATCATAGCTGCAGGACCTATTGCTCCAAGAGGTCAGCTAGTTGTGGTCCTGCAGTTGTGATCATTGTGTAACACAGGCGCAGGGTTAGAGAGATGGGCCGAGGGACAATGAGCTTAGTATAGTCAGCTGTCCGTGTCAGAAAAGCTGTTCATAGGCCCATGCTTCATCCATGTCTCTTCCACCTGTAGTCTAACTCTGGTGCATCCCTGAACCTCGACAAGACCAGTGTTTACAGAGCCTTCTCGTGTGCGACACCACTACACCGCTATTGGATGTCAACGTCTTTCTAAACAAGCCGCAGGAGATTTGGGTCACTGTGACTCAGCATAACGTCTACAAGAGTCTGCTGCACAGAAAAAGCCACACATTTATGCAGATGAATGAATATTTGCACGAAACAGAAAAAAAATATATTTGAGAAGCCTCCAACATGTATCTTTTTTTTTTTTATTGAGAGGTTTTCCTCTACGCTAAATAAAGACTTTTCCTCCCGTACGATAAGCTCCTCACTTAAGAGATTGTAGAGTAATTATAGTGTAGAAGACTGCCGCTCGCCTGCAATGTATCCCAAATCCCAGTAATTGGTTGTGGATTTAAAGAAAGCGTGTTGCATTTGGAAGTCTGTCAGATACTGCACAGCGAACACGAATGGAATTTGTCATTGAAAGAAACCCATGTTAGTCTGTGGTCTGTTTAGTGATTGCATTAAGTACAAAGGTCACTGCTTTCAAGGTGTGCAAACAAACTATAGATGAACACACCAGACACATAGCTGTTACATGCAAGACGTCCATGCATGCGTTTGTATGGGGGCATCCATGAACGAGGAACCAGTATTCAGATTACACTCTTTCACTTTCATACCAAGAGCTGTGCAGTTGGGTTGGGTGCCAGGTGTGAAGTAATTTGACACATATACTCGTATTTTAGCTAGCTCTTTTTTGGAGCCCTGCATTCCACAGCTGCAGTATAGACTGACATCCGGCCATGTTTATGCTTTGCTGGAGCACTACATGCACATACACACAGTGGGGAGTAAGTTTGTCCATTCAGCTGGAAGTTTGGTATTCAGGGATTATGTCGATGTTGGTTCCTCAGAGGCAGACCCACTCACCCAGTCTGTCCCCAGGCAACCCTCTCTAATACCCAATCGCAGGGGACTGGAGGCTCGATTCTTTGCACTTGTCCTTTTTAGATATTGTTTATATAATCTGTCGTTTATCTCTGTGCATGTGTGTGTGTTGAGAGGAAGAGAAGAGAAAGGTGTGCTTCAGGGTCAGTGGGAAAAGAGGCTTACAGGAAGTCAGCTTATGTCCCCTTGTGACCTTGGTGCTTGTAACTCCATACTTCCTTCTATTCAACTATGCATGTAGACCAACACACCCCACATACAATGTCAAACACCTCATTTCCCCTATTTGACCCTTTATTCACACTGCAGTCTATTCAGGGCTCTCTTCGCTGCTGTGCTATTCTTTACTGTATTAGGCAGACATATGGTGAGATTTAAATTATGCATTGCATTCTGTTTTTATATCAAATTCAGGTCAAATACATCGAATACATTTGTAAACTTAATACCTAGCCCTGGTGGGTGAGAAGGGACACTGTTGACTTGGAACTTTGCACTTCTTCCTCTTTTCCAGACACGAATGCAGAGCCTCCAGCCCGACCCCGCAGCCCGCTACAGGAACGTGATGGATGCCCTTCGCCGGATCGTAGCCACAGAGGGAGTCTGGCGGCCAATGAGAGGGCTGAATGCAACAGCAATTGGGGCGGGACCTGCCCATGCCCTCTATTTTGCCTGCTATGAGAAACTCAAAAAGACTCTAAGTGATGTCATTCACCCAGGGGCTAACAGTCATTTGGCTAATGGTACCATAAAACATACATATACACTAATTAACAGTGACATATACCGTAAATGTGCAGATCGTGTGTGGCTACCTTGACTTTGAGATCGCCATAATATAGGTTCATATGTAGAACTCGTCCAACTCGTCCGACTCTAATGCCAAGCTACATCAGGGGGATTTCTATGAAGCTGCTGACTCAGCCTCATCCGGGTATAGAGTAGACAAGCCCTGACCAGACCTAAAATGGTAGGCCATCAAATTGGCTTTTCATAGCCACAGTCACACACTGTAAGGAAGCGTCAGGGTCAGTTGTCGATCTTTTGCTCGTTTGTCGGACAGTTAAACAGTTTGTCTTATTTGGGTCAAGTTCAGCAAAGTCACCTCGCCGACAGGATAGAAAGAGATTAATTTTAGAAACCTTGCTCTGAATGTCAACCATTTCCTTATTCCTTGTTCTCCCTACTCTCTCTCTCCTCCTTCTTTTCCAGTTTAGTGGGAGGCTTGGTAAGTCATCTTTCTCCCATCTTATCAGCTCTCTCCTCTGTTCATCCTGTCTTTTCAAGTTAATGGTTTGGTTTAAATGTCCTTTGAAAGGCGCAGTGAACCACCTTGTCCACTAGGTGTCTGTCTTTGCTCAGGTTTGGCCTTCCTGAATTCGGCCAGCGTGATCTCTAGGTTACACCTGTGCAATTTGCTGAATATGCGCCAATTCTGCTATGATTTATTATTTTGAGCATTGGACATGTGCTTTTACGAGAAGTGCACTGAAGGCTGTGACAAGATCCAAATGGTTCTTACTGCTGCAAGTGAAAAGGCTTTTTCCTTCCCATTATATCCCTCTTTGCCGCAATCTCTTCATCTCTTCTATTTTCCTTGTGTTATCTTCATGATTTATTTCAATGTGTAAGTGATTTCTGAGGTGTGTTTGTTGCAGGAACAGCTGGGTGTGTGGCCACTCTGCTTCATGATGCAGTCATGAACCCAGCTGAAGGTAAGGGCAACATTTTACAGTAAAATACCATTTGACCACAGAATTGGGTATTAAGATATTTTGTCGCTCATAACAAAGGTTTACCATACAGACATTTCAGTGAAGAAACTTACAGGTGCCACGCCTGGGCCAGCCATCTTCACATGTTGGCCTTAAGCCTGCAGTCTCACATATTGGCTTTCACAGCTGCCTCTAGTCCACCTGCCCAAACTTGTCAGTAGAAGGACACTGGTCAGAGTCCCCATGTGCAGCTGTTAGATGGGGTGCAGCTGCCTCAGCAAATGCTCTCAACATGACGCACTACATCTTTATGTGTGTTTATTAGAAATAAATGTCTGCTCTACTGCAGGTAATAGCTCACTTTTTTCTTCTTTTCAATCTTTGTCCCCTTTCCACTGCCAACCCTGGACACATTTGGCCTTCTCTTCCATCAATACATCCACCCACGTCTTCCTAGTTGTGAAGCAGCGCATGCAGATGTATAATTCACCCTACCGCGGCGTGTTGGACTGTGTACGCGCCGTGTGGCAGAAAGAGGGCCCTGCTGCGTTCTACCGCAGCTACACCACCCAGCTCACCATGAACGTGCCCTTCCAGGCGCTGCACTTCATGACCTACGAGTACCTTCAGGAGCTGCTCAACCCCCACAGACAGTACAATCCATCATCCCACATGTTGTCCGGAGCTTTGGCTGGAGCCATTGCGGCTGCGGCCACCACACCTCTGGACGTCTGCAAGACCCTGCTCAACACCCAGGAGTCTCTAACCCTCGGCTCCCTGTCTTCCGGCCAAGGCCCCGGCAAGGGCCAAGGTCAAGCCCACAGACAAATATCAGGCCTGGCCCATGCCTTCCGGACAGTGTACAGGCTGGGCGGCCTGCAGGGCTTCTTCAAGGGAGCCCAGGCGAGGGTCATCTACCAGATGCCCTCCACAGCCATCAGCTGGTCGGTCTATGAGTTCTTCAAGTATGGACTCACCAAGCACCAGCACAACAAGAGGAGAGCACAGCACATGGAGGTTTAGATGTAGATGTCTCCTTGGTTTAATCTCGTCTAATATTGCTCTGCCCTCCCTGTGAGGAGAAGATGAAGTCAATACGCACATAGAATCTGATTTAAAATCCGCCTCAATGGTCCCATCCCTTTCAGACATAGCAAACAAGAAAGACATCTTTGAAGACAGTTCAAGTACAGTAGTTACATTTCAGCTACACTATTTCAAGACTAGTTATGGTTTGAGTTATATTCTTTCTCTCTTCTAGGAGAAAACATTTACACAGTATTATAGAACTAGTTCATCTGGAATTTTTTTTAAAGCCATTCTTGTGACCACTATGTTTCTCCAAGCTGAGGATAAATGTGAAGAATGCACAAGTTTGGAAGTGGGAAGTTAGTCAGCAGAGGGCAGTAGTGTTACTTTGTTAACTTTCTTGTAGTTTCATAAGCTTCGCTATCCTAGGACCAGATTTGTATTTTCACCCATCCAAATCTTGAGTTTGAAAACAAAACTTTTACTGACTCCTGATTCGGACCCCTTTCTGGATTTATGAATAAAACTTTTTTTTTAATCTCATAACAGACTATTCTCACAGTAGTAGTACGCACAGGCATTCAGTCCTTAACCCAAAATATATGAATTTGATCTAATTTAAAAGTATTTCGGCCATTCAGAATCAAAAGCAAATTACCCTTTCTGACAACGTTTTGTTGTTAACCTTATCCACGTTCATTTCCTGGCATGGATCAGTACTCTGATACCTTAACCTTCCAATGTGGCCGTTCAAATAGTCAAGACCAACTTTTATATCTTGATTAATTGAACTGTGTCTTTTGAAATGTAGTCCAATAGTATTTGGTGATTTCACCGGTCAACAAAAAAGACCATAAATCAGGTTTGGGGATCCCTTTATGTTTTGCTATTGACTGTTAACAGTATAAATATGATGGGTCAAATATTTCCCCCCCCCCTTTTTCAAATGTCGATGTTTAAGATTGTTCCCTATAATGCAATTGGACAGAAAAATACCAATTTACAGGAGCTCTGAGGTATCTGAAGTGGTGTTTACATTTATTTTAAATAATTTTGATTCCTTAAATGGTATTTTATTTCCAGCAAATATATTACTTTAAACGTTCCCTTTTGAACTTTTCCCCCATTTATGTGTTAAACCAACCCTCGGATCCTCCAAATACTCACCATTAATGCCTTGTGTAGATTGACAGAGCAGACCAGGGCAGCGTAAGATTGCCATTTCTGTGCATTAACTGTAGCCATCAGCCTGTTTTCAGCTTGTGAACTTAGTTTCAATATCTGTGATCAAGAGCAAAAGTTGTGTACAATATACTGTGCCCAAAAGAAGAATTTAACTTATCAAGGAGTTCAGTATCCCACAAGATATGTGTCTGTTCCCCCATTGAGTACACCTAAATGGAAGCTGTCATTCTTACTGATTGATGTCTGATTGTTTCCGACACTGAATTGCACTCGTTGAATAAAGACTGAGCGGTGGGAATCTACTCACTGCTCATAAATGATGGGAGCCCTGTTTTGATTTCTTTAAAAAGCTTCTGAATGCAGATGACTTAAAAGAAAGTTCTTGCCTATTCAGCGGTAATTGTAAAAACAACAAGTCCATGTTGCCATTTTAATCTGGGTGTGTATAAAAGATTTTAAGTCTTTGTTTCTCTGTGAATGGAAACCAAACAATAGGATGAATGAAAAGGAGGCAATGCCCTAAGCCACATCTGTACTGCCAGAAACACATGGAGAGTTTGTGTGTGTGCTTTCAGGTATTTTTAGTTTGAGGCAGGTACAGTTGTTTAGCCTTGAGCACAGGTGCAGATTTCAACTTTGACCCTCAAGACTGAAGAACAATTTGAACTTGAGACTCGTAGCCTGCGTACAAACAGCTGGAGTGAAGCTTTTGGTATTCAGCAAATGATGCATGATAAAGTAAACTTTGATAACGTTAGAAAGAAAAATTGCCAGATGGTGTGGAACAAAGATTTTGATTGTGATGTTGAACAAACCATTAGTGCCTAAAAAGATGAAACCATTGCAGGTCAATAACATAAACTTATATCAGCACAAATGTAGAGCGATGTGTAACTTGGAAAATACAATTCAAACATAGACCTCATTCTACCATGACATCTGGATCTAGCAGGTCTCTATGGATGTAGCACTTGTGATTATATCTTTGGTCATAATTACAGAACCTCTTTTTCCATTAGAAAGAAGAGCCAGTTCTACAAAAGATCCCGGAAACATAAATTCCCAATTAAGTGTGAGAGATCTGTGTGATTAGAGCAGCATCAGAGGCAATAGTTATAAGAGAGTTTGATAGGTCATAGTATGTGTGTACACAGGAATATAATGATCAGACCTATGTATGTGTAAGTTACTTACGTTTTCTGAATTTCCTTCCATCACCAGTCACTGTAGTGAGTCCACGACATAATATTTGAATTTATAATGTGGGAGAAAATCTTACTAACTACAAGTATATCAAAAGCAATCAATGGTTTTATTAATATTTTGTGTACAACATGTTATTGCATTAACAGGACTCCTGCAACAATGTCTGCAAATCAACTGCAGAGGTTGTGAATCAATGAACTGATACATTTTTGGGCATGGAAAATGAGTTTTTAAATAATAAAAAAGGGTTACCATCACTTAAAGTATTCCTGTGGGTTGGAATAGTGGTGGCCAGTCTTTTGACATAATGTCATTTGACACGCTCACATCATCGCTCTGTCTGGGGGAAATATGAAACAGTCTACACAAACACTAAAATCCTTCAGTTAGAATCTGTGGACACATCAGTTTCAGAGAAGCAGGTTTAACATTTTTACAGGTTGTGGTGAGGAGTGACGGCTACCACAGAATCAGACACAGACACACACACACACACACACACACAGACACACACACACCCATGCTTGTCAGACACCTGTTCAAACAGGGAGTGTTAATGAACCGTCTCTGCCACTCTCTCTCCCACTATCTCTGCATACATGTATACAGTATGTGTGGCCTATCATACTTCATGCTGTTCTGCTCTTACATCTGCTGCTGCTAAGCCAGCTAGAGCTTGCCCGCTGTGATGAATCTCATGAGAGACTGACAGACAGACTTTACACGAGTAAGAAGGTTATGGATTGAATTGGCACGTGTTTAGAAATACTGTGGTGAAAATACAGAGGGACATTAACCAGTAGAAACTGGATGTCTTTCAAAGGTGAGTTTCTTGTGCCCTGATGTTTCTGCTTCTGATTTGTGTGTCTGTTTGTGTGTGTGTGTGTGTGTGTGTGTGTGTGTATCTGTCAGCAACAGTCTGAGAGGAGTAAACTGTTTAGTCTAGTCATTCGCTCCTTTCTTTCTCACTCTGTTTGTGTAAGAGTATGTGTGTGTGTAGGCTGAGTAATATGCAGAGGCAAGCAGTGTCAGAAATACTCAGAGACACATCTCGGTGGTTTGAGGTCAGACTTTCTCTCCTCTTCTATGAATGAAAATAATAATGGCTTCTCGCCCATCTGGACCCGCTGCACAGCCCTCTCTCTGTCCTCGTCTTCATTGATTAGAGACTCTGCTTTGAGGCTTGCTGGGATTTTATTTGGTGGTTAGAGTTCAAATTGAGATGTTACGGCGTATACTGTGGTTGATATTGTTCCTGTGTTGCGTCAAACTTTCGATCTTATGGTGCTCTTTGTTGATAGCGTCGCCTACCAGATATCTGGTAGGGTAGAGCCATTGTCAGGACAATCGAACATACCTGTTCTCTTTGTTTGTTTGTAAAAATTCCCTTTGTATTGATATAAGAGGTGTAGAGGCACAACTCCAGTAGTTAACTGTGCCTCTCCTTTCTGTCACACAGACAAAAGCACTTCCCCTTGGCAGGTGTTGCCTTAGTTTCTGTGAATGTCAACACATTTTTTGTTTCTGCTGTCATTAGTTCCCATAGATGTTTTAACATGTCATAGCAGGAAAAGCACCATAATTAATAACACTAATAAAGACCGCTTTCCATTTAAGTGTGCCAATTCAAGAGTGCTGATATAAGTGGGCTGGGACTCATTGTAACTGAGCCATCATTGATGTTATTAGTAACGCCTGTGCTTGTCCTGCTAATAGAAGTCAAAATGTCTCATGTGTTCTGTTTGAATCACACTGCCAATGATTTTAATGCAGTTTTTTTATTATTGTTATCAAATTTAGAGAGAGTTGGTAAACTGACCACAGGCCTATAGATATAAAGGTATTTCTAAATTTGTTTAACGATTGTGAAGATGATTTGTGTTTTTTGCAGATGTCACGGGTATGTTCGAGCCAATTAAAAGTCTGGAAAATCAATGTGGGCGGGGTTTGACCTTTGACTGTGAAAAGTTTGTATGCCCTGTGTGGGCGCTGCTATGAAGTTCGCGGTTAAATAAAACAAATGGCTGCTATTACGTTATAGAATAAATATGTCAAAATAAATATAGGAAGCCAAACTTCCAATTACATCTTCCTGTGTGGAGAGACTTTCTGAGCTGGCACATTCATTGGACTGAAATTATATTCAACTGTAAGACACCTGGCCTGCACCTTGAGATGTAAGATGGCAGCGTTCCCCCCCACCCCTCACCCACCACCCATGGTAAGATTAAACGCTCCTTTTATTCCTGCCATGGCCTTTGAACGGCAATTAATCATAGTAGGTGCACTCAGGTCTTGACATTGTTGTGTTGTCTTTGCGTTTGGAGCGTTTCAGTTTTGTGCTTGTAGGAGGACGTGAGATTGTAAACTGCTTGATGGTGTGTTTTGTTCCTTTTTTATAGTTTGTAGTTTGTTGTGTGCATATCTCAGCTGTCATTGTTTACTCTGAGAGCTTATCAAAATTAAGCCCGACAGGGGCATGTTGGTGCCAGGAAGAAGTTTCTTTTGGGTTGTTTTTTTGGTATGACCTTGGGATAGCAGGATGATCTTGGAAAATGTAGACTGTGAATAACAAAACTTATTCAGTCTTTCATGGGGCATGTTATTTTTCTGCCTACTCCATGGATGCATAGACAAATCATCAATCAAGCAAATAACCTCCATAAAGCAACATATTCAATCCTATTACTAAAATACACAGATACCAGAACAATAACAGAACAAAATATGTCTTGAAAAAGATCATTTAAAAAAATGCTTATGTTATATTTTGTTTAAAAAAAGAGGGAGAAAGAGGGGTGGACATTAAAAATATTTCCTGGTAAACAGACTATTATTCCTCTTATACTTTGACCGTGCTACTGTACATTTTACTATTCTATCAATTAATTCAGCTGTCTGCATTGGAGATATATCTTGGGCTCATTGTTTCCTGCAAGCGTTTTTGTTTCTCTTATGTAAAGTTCATGGTGGCAGTTGACTTCAAGATATAAAGAATGCACTGTTGTTTTGTGAATAAGTGTTGATAAGTTATTTATGTTACTTATGTTGTCACTACATACTTCTGTACCCCTAATCTCTCTTTAAAGTCCTACTGTATGTGCAGTAAATGCATCACTTTGACTTAAATTACTGGTTTGATGATTGATAAACATCGAACATTAAACCACTTCAAACCCTCATGACTTTTAATAGAGGTCTGCCATTGTGATAACATCGTGTACCATTACAACAATGAGTATGATCTTGTCACAGCAATTACACCCTTTAACCATCATTAACTTTAAATAGTTTGACATGCATGAAAGAGACGTTATTGCTCTCCGAGTGGCACACTTTGTCAGTCATAATTACTTTGTGTTTATCCAGTGGGTGCAGCCACCGATCTACACTCATGTAGATCGGTGGCTGCATGCCCTCTAAACCAACCTGGAACACTTCCTCTTCTCAGCTGAATATTATCGCTACTTCAAGGCCATCTTCTCTGACTTTATTTGGACAATAACGCATGCACACACACACACACACACTGCAGACATCTTTTCTGTTGGAAAAGACCCTTACTCATTGATGAAGGGCTGGCAGACACACATGCATACACTCCCTTGTGTATTGCTGTAAGCCCATGTTTTGGAAACTCAAGCCTCCGTTCCAAGCCCCTTACAGCAAGCACCTGTGGAAGAGTGTATTTCACACACACACACACACAGACACAGGCTCACAAACACACACTCCAAGGGTACTTAGGAATGTGAACGCCTGAAGGACTCAGGTCCTCTACAACAACTCTCCTTCAGTCTCTCGCCTTCTCTTACTCTACATATTTATGGCTCTTTTGTTGCTTCTTTTGTCAGATCTCTCTCCATATATTAAGCCAAATCTGACTGGACCACTCAGCATGAATTACAGAGTGATACAGGATTACGCCATAATGTCCACTTTATTCCATCCTTGCCAGCAGCTAATGGATGAGGTGTGATCGCAGGCTCTTCATCTGACTCACTGGGATACACACAGACACATACAGGTTGTGATCTCACGCTCCTTGGGGGTGCTGCTGGATAAAGGAGCTGTTGTTGTACTCCCTTTGGCTGCAGTCTCTCCCACTCTGGGCAGATA